CTCACAAGATTCTGGGACAACGTTAATCCACCTGTGGCGAGAATTTCCCTACGCCGTTTAATCCCGGCATTTCCTGAAGAACAACCTCAACAAGAAAACGATTAGAGGACTTTAAAAACCGTCTTAGGTAAAACCTAAAACGACTTGTATGCATACATGCATACACACTTACATGCTGTTTTTTCTCTGCTTAAATTTTGTTTGTTTGTATCAACATTGTGGCAGCTTTGTGTGGTCATGTGTGTCACAGATAAAAACAAGCTTTTAGGTCACTGTTGCTTATGCTAATGAGAATTACAAACACCCTGACAAACCTTTGCTGAAAGTAGTCTGGCAGTTTGAGTTCCAGTTTTCTCCAAACCTGCAGTGTAAACTGACTACAACTAAACGTTATACACTCCTTGGCCACTTCATTAGGTACAAACTTAACTGCTGATACAAGGCAGGATGGATCCATGCTTTCGTGTTGTTTAAGGCCATTTTTTTGTTTACGCCAAATGGTTATCCTACCATCAGAATGCAGCAGAAATCAAGACTTAGGCAATCTTCTCTTGTCTAATTTTGGTGAAAACTGTAGGCTCAGTTTCCTGTTCTTAGCTGACAGAAGTAACACCCAGCGTGGCTGTAGTCCATCTGTTTACTTTTTGATATCTTGTGCATTCAGACATGCTCATCTGTATATCTTGGTTGTAAAGAGTTGTCATTTTCCCATTTGCATTACTTTTGCATTCCTATCAGCTCGAAGCAGTCTGCCCATTCTCCTCTGACATCAAGAAGATACTTTCATCCAGAGAATTACCACTTGCAAAAGTCTTTTGAGCCACCCTTAATTTCTTTATATTTTACTAGGAAAACAGGAGTTCTATCAAGCTTAAAAGTCAATACTTGGTGTGACCACTTTATTCTTCAACACAGCCTGAACTCTCTTAGCCAAGCTTCGTTCTAACTTCTTTATGCGGCCTTCTGGACAAGTTTGGTAGTCTTCGGGCTTCTTAAAGGCATTTAAAGTTCTTCCTTGGATGTTTCTCCCTTTTGTAGCATTCTCTGTCAAGATGATCCCACAATACTTCGATAAGGAGGATATCTGGGCTCTGAACCTGCTTTTTTGTGGTTTTCTATCTATGCTTTTACAACATTAGCAGTGTGTCTGGGATCACTGACATGGGGAAAAACAAAGTGGATGCAAACCTGAAACTTTCCAGATGGTATTGCATGGTGGATCAAAATCACCTTGAACCATAGCTTTTACCGTGTTTTACAGATGGCTGCAGTCACTGTTGTACCTTTTCCTGACAATATGTACAGAGGACGTCATATTGATCATCTCCTTTAAAACCAGAAATCTTTTGTATAATATGGCATAACAAATTACCTGCCTTTTCTCCCCATTTCCTTTTCTTAAGAATGGCCTCTTGACGGCCACCCTTTCACTAAGACATGACGAGGCCGCAGCGAACAGTAGATCGAGCAACTGAAGCGTCAGATGTATCTCTCAGGTCCTATGTCAGGTCTTTGCTGGATTTCTTATGGAAATTACTTTCACAAATTATTCATTTCTGCTTGTAGTTTTTTTTTTAAACTGCCACCGTTTTTTCTCATTTTTTAAGGACACACTGCATGCCATAATATATGCCAAGTTTTCAGCTAATAGCTGTTTGTGAATCACCTTGATGCAAAAGTGCAATTTCATGATTGTCAGTTTGTTTTCATACTTAACAAAAAATTGGGAACAAATTTTTTTTTGTGCCAGGTTGTGCTGGTAACAAATTGGCTTTCATGTGTAAACAACACTAGCTCATTGGGTTAGGTGCCTTTTTATGCTTGAATTAATCATAGCTCAGTGTTAAGTAGTTCAAAAACAAAAAGAAACTCCATCCATCCATCCATCCATTCGCTTCCGCTTATCCTTTTCAGGGTCGCGGGGGGCGCTGGAGCCTATCCCAGCTGTCATAGGGCGAGAGGCAGGGTACACCCTGGACAGGTCGCCAGTTTGTCGCAGGGCTAACACATAGGGACAGACAACCATTCACACTCACATTCACTCGCACATTCACACCTAGTGGCAATTTGGATTATCCAATTAACCTATCCCCACAAAAAGAAACTATTCCCCGTAAATGCAACCAATATCCTGGTCTTTCAGAAATCCTGAACAACTAATCCTCAAGTCCACTTTTAAAAAAATGACAAGAACAAATCTAAAGATATAAAGAATAACTTAAGACCTGCCAGCCTACAATCATTTAATCTCCTCTGACTTACTCTTGCTCACTGACCTGACTTTTTTTTTTTCCTGACTTTTGCTCCCATTTCTCTGCTGTAAAAGTCAAAAGAGACAGCACACAGCAGGCAGCAGGAAATTTAATTAGTGGACAGAATTAACAATGAAGTTCCTGCAATGATGGCAACGTATTAATACACTTCACGATAATGCTGAGAGAAAGAAGAATACAGGTGAAAAGAAAAGAAAAAAGAAAATCAAGCCTCATTTTATAGCTCAATAAACCAGATGCTGTTACTGCCTTTAAACAATGAATGTCTGTTCATATAACAAATCTCTTATCACAGTGCTTAGACATGGTTATTTGCCCAACTCAACAAGTATTTGTGAAACAATCCTGTGTAAGAGCATGTCCAGAAATATCAAACTCAGGGGAGAAAACAGCGACTGGAGTGACTGGAGTCGCCATCATTTTTATGATGCTACATGTTGCTTGACTTTGGGAGGTCATCATCAAAATCACATCTCAGCTAGCAAAAGAAAACAAGAGCAAGAAATTACTTTCTTTTTAAAGTAATCGAATGGGAAAAAAAAAAAAAAAAAAAAAAAAAAAAAAAAAAAAAAAAAAGACATTCCAAAAACAATCATTGTAAACAAAAACAAACAAACAAAAAATGGCTAAAAAGATATATGGTTTTCCTCACTGATTATTAGATCAAAAATAGTGTACATACAGTAAGTGGAATGACTGAATGAAGATACAACATCAAACAATTTATACATTGGATCTCTTAAGTTTCATTCCAGGAACAGAAAGCTGTGTTTTCTCTACATCGTTGACACTTATGAGGTCTGACATCAGCTTTATGACGTGATGTAGAAATAAATGTACACGGGGCAGGTGCAGCAGACTGTACCGTCTTTGCAGTGAGAGAGAAAGGGAGAGATTAAAAAAAAAAAACATGAGAAATGATACACCAACGTGCAATCGACAGTGTTCTTTGACTGACACTCTTTTAAATAGAGCCTAACGATGCACGCTGACTAATGTGATTATCTGCAGAAAGCATCACATGATGACCAGATGAGGCTGGGTCCATACAGTATGACAGCTCCTGTTCTTTTGCATCATTTTTCACCAACTAAGCTTTTCTCAGATCATCATTACTTTCATTCATCATTACATTTTAAACGTTTATTTACACAGGTAGTCCCGTTGAGACTCAACGTCTCACTTACAAGACAGACCCGTTTAATCTGTACCATGCAGTTTTTAGAGTTGCTTGAGCTTTACAGCCAAACAGTAAAAACAAAACACTAAACACTGAAGAGAAGTGCAACACTGGGGTGTCTGTCATTTAATAGTAGTATAGATATATAAGGCAATAATAAGGAATTACCCTGGACGTGCAAACTTCTACTCTTTACTTGCATCGGGAGATCAGGAGAACCATTTCTACTCTAAAACCTTTCTGGACTGAAAGATAAGTGACTCTTATTCAATCAGTCAGGCAGGTAAAGAAGTTGTGATTGCAAATCTAATACAAGCTTAACATGGTACATTACAGAGGAGTTCATGCAGTTTCCATAAGCAAAGTGCTTTCCTGAGCTTCTGTGCAGCACATGCCACCAACAAGCATCATGCAACGTAGTTTTTTTTTTTTTTTTTTTTTTTTTTTGGGGGGGGGCAAAATATGCCATGATGCTGTCCGTTTTAAGACTTATGTGACCAATAAGCAGCTTTTTTTTTTGCTGCCATATGTATGGACAATAACTTCAACTGATTTAGTTCATTAGTCATAAACTTTGTCTAATGAACTGCACATGTAAACATTTGATTGGTACACAAAATGCAGGACATATTGTGTCAAGGTTTACATGATGGTACAATTGGCCGATTTGTTTTTCAGACGTAGATATTTCTGTACAAATGTACAGTATCCAAGTCTGAAAAGAAAAACAAAAAACATCTTAACAAAAAAAGAAAAGAAAAAAAAAAGAGATCAGAATCAACAGGTATAGCAACATAACTGTGATCAGAGTCGTGTAAGAGTTTGATCAGCGAGGCTAACACAAATGTACTGCAAAGAAAGCGTGCAAGTGTGCCATGCAGCCAGGGATTAGTGTGATTGATAATGACAGTGTATCTGAATTAGTTTGACAAGAAATGTCTTAAAAGAGCTGAGGTTGTAGGTGATGTACAGTATTTAATCCCTGTTAAACAATAGTTCACATAACTCATATACTAGTGGTGGTTTGTCTTTCCACTGGCCTGATATTTGTGGAATGAGAAACATCTGCAAGCCAGTTTAGAAGAAACACTTTAACTTCAGCACTCTTATTAAACCCCATTTACATTAGTGGTTACTGTTAGAAAAGAAACGCTTGAAAACTGGCTTGCAGAGTACCGTCACCTTTGCAACACACCACAATCACATTATCCTTTTTTTTTGGGGGGATAACATGTTTTTATAATGCACCAGAGACCACGTCTGGCTGTACTTACAAAGTGAAATGACAGATTGCAGTCAGATCTCTGTTAACATGTGGTATTAAGTTTTGTTTTACTGAAGTATTTGTGAACTATCGCCTTTGGTCTTGTTAGTGCCCATGCAACCACCTTTAATTCCAGAAAGCTCTTAGAGACAGAATAAAATAAAGCAAACTTACTTCATTCATACCTAAAAAATAAAACAAAAACAAAGAACAAAACAGGATCAGAATTCTCATTTACAGTCTGCATGCATCCTTATGGTACACATTAGCTCCAGCACACATATTTAGACGTTATTCTACTTTATTCACATTATATTACAATCATGAATATATGACACTCATCTGTGGAAAGTCTGAATGTATCGTACACCGTTTCCATTCCTGCAAATTACTATTTAGTGCCAAATATTAACGATATTATGAATGCTACTGACAGGTGCTTTTCTTAATATACAGTTATAAAATAAACGCACACGGAAGAGAGGAGTCAAAGTTGTCTGAAACATCATCAACATGTTCTATGTGTTGCCAAAGTTCATGCTCTAACTCCAAGATAAAGACGATATGACTTTGCAATAATATCCACAGAGTGAAAGAAAGAGACAGACAAAGAGAGAGATTAAGAGAAGTTAGGAGGGAAGAGAAGGCAAGAGGCAGTCCGTTCTACAGCCCCAACAGTTTAACCCCCAACTGCCCGTATCCCTCAATAACCCTAGTGTCGTACTTTTCCAGGAATGTAGTTACGGTCAATGGTTTCCTCTTGAAGAAACATGTGAAGACAGCGCTCGTTCTGGGCCAAGGGGTGACCTGCAATTCTATACAGAAACACAGAAACAAACATTGTAAACTCACTCTCTGCTCATTTTAAAATGCTTTTCAGGAACGCTGTGGAAAAGCAGCCATGGATTTGTTGCTTGGTTCTCCTTTCCCAGGCACAGATTAGATTAAGCCTTGTGTTGGGCTACACAATTTTGACAACAAACAGCTCACTAAAGTGGATAGAAAAACTTAAAGAAACGACAGCAATGGCTTTGATACAAGTTCAGCGATAGAAAAAACACAATGAAGTCTTGCTCGCGTCTCCCTCCACCCAAGACTCCCGCCTATAATGTAATTTTGTGACTAACTGACCTGTTGATAAACTGCTCCAGGCCCGATCTTCGCTCCTCAATGAATGACTCGTCAAAAAGACCCTCATCACTGCGAAAGGGCAACTGTCTCTTCAGGGCCTTGCCCGGCAGAGGTGGTACAACAATCTGAAGGAGGCAGGGGTCGACACAAAGAACAGAAAAAAAAAAGAAAAAAGAAGGAGAAAAAAGTCCACACTCAACATGAAACAAAGTCAACACCGTAGACATTTCCACTGCCAAATTTGGGCCCTCATAACAATTTCATGTAGAATAGCCGTGCAAGCGCATGTAAACATTTTAATCACCATATTTTTGTTTCAGAAAATAATAATAATCAGATTACTTATTTTATATGGTCAAGTCACATAATGCAATCTCTGCACTTACATTGTTAATTATTATTCACTCACCTTACTGTCTCTTTCCAGCTCATTCTTTAACCACTCAAAGTCGCTGTATCTTCTCCTCACACAGGAGTCCTTTAATTTGAAAATGGGAAGGTTCGTCTACAAAGAGAAGGCAAAAAACAAAACATGTTGGTTAATTTGAAATTCAATCATCTGCATGAGATGGCAACTGATATGTAAGGAAAGGACCTGCACTACAATTCCAACTATTATCAGTTTTCTTCCCCTATTTCACTAAAAGCTTTAACTCATCTTTTATCTGGCTACAAATCAGATCTGCTAATAACTGGCAAAGGTTTGTTCTGTACAGAAAAAAATTTATCTATACTTTGTTTATTTGAAAAGCAATTAAAGCCACTTGTAAAAGCACAGATTATGACTGCAGCGACCCTCTGCTTTCCACTATTGATCCCAGTGAGGGTTAATTGGACTGATATGGCTTTTTGGTAATTATTAGTTAACCACAGGCCCCTGACCCAATCTTCCCTACCATGGTCTATTACAATTTTCAAGCACTGAGAACAGCAAGTTGTTCATATTGTGCAAGGCAGACTCTCCACAGTGCCACAAAATGATGATTTGCAGGAAAGGCAGGCACGTTAACATTCAATTACACAATTATAGTGCGTCTGTGTTGTGTCACTGAATCAGCTTCCTGAAACGTCCTTAGAATTAGCTGTGTTAGTGATTTCCCACGTCTCACATTCTTTTAAGCTTAGCCGTCTTTCTAGTGAACAAGTTAGTTAAAACTTGTGACTGTTACATTAAATTTGACTTACACAATTTCACAACAGTCAAATAAAAGCCACTTTACAGAGAACCGTAAACTTCCTTGCAACACTATAGAAAAAACCCAACATTTAACTCGACCTCTTCATATTTCAATAATCACAAAACACTTTTATGCGTTTTGCTCTACGGTTTTTAGAAAAACACCAACACTGTTAGCCTTTTTCATTCAGCTTTTCTCTGAATATCAATATGAAACTGTCGAAGAATATGTACGAATAACGTTTGGTTACTCCTTCATATATCCAGATACTATCCACTGATGTATTTAGCTCTAGAAATCCAGACAGACAAACAATGTAACATTAAATCAGTCTTAATTTACTTTACAGCGCATTATCACATATAGCTAGCAGTTAGCTTCCCGGAGTCTGCTGGAAATTCCTGGTTTTGTTTTAATGTTTTATTTAGTTTCCTTTTACTTAACGCAGACTAGCTCACAAACAATACTGTAAGCTGAGGAAAAACTACGGTACTGACTTTGAACTAGTGACACTGCTTACATTCCCGTAATTGCACCTTAGCATACCTTCAAGAAACTTCTACATGTTAGCTAGGCCGCTGACAGTCCCAGCTGCTCGATTTTTACTCGCGCCCCACCTCGAGCTACTCTACGACGAATAGCGACAACGTAACGGCACGGTGACCGTGGCTAACTGGCTAGCATCGGTACTGTAATTAAGAGTTAGCTTAGCGCCAAAAGCTAATGCTGCAAGGTGTTTGAGGTTTACGCCTCGATACCTACCCTCATGCGAACTTCGTAAGTTGTGTAACGGCCCCGTCCGACTCCAACGATTTGTGGATCATAAACGTCTATCTCCAGGAAATTGCTGGGGGGACCGTAAGCATCAGTCAGGTCCTGGGGCTTGGAATTCAACCGGCGAGTGTCGGCCACCACAGGATCTGACATTTTGTCGGGTTGTGATTTTCAGACGACCAACGGAGAATTAGCGTCAAACCAACTAAATACACAGTGAAGTCTTAAATGTCATCTGAAGACATCAACTGCTTTCGATAGCTGACCGCTTCAGCTGGGGAAGTAGCCGACTTGTGTAGCTCTCTTTGCGGGGGCCAGCCGCCTTGCGCCCTACCCTACCCTTCTTGAATCAGAAAAATGCGTTGACTCAGTTCCGTACTGTGCGGGACACTCCGCACTCCCTCTAATGGACACACAGATATTGCTGATTGTACTGGGTTTCTTTTATACCCATCGCTACAGTAGAGCAATTCACAGGACTAAAGTTTTGATGAAAAAACACAAAACAAAACACAGTATTTGTATTTATTTATTTATGTAAAAAAAAAAAAAAAAAAAAAAAACAGAAGTAGAGACGTACAAGGACCAGAGAGAGGTAATGTGCAAGCTAGCAAAAAATATATATGACACAAAAATAAAGGTAACAAAAACATTAAGGCAAAGAAAAAGTACAACAAAATTGTTTTAAATAGATATCATTGAAGTTATATTTGTATACAGGTAGAGGAAATTATTGTTTTCTCAATGTTTTGAGAAAGAACATAGCAGTTACACATGTTTATAAAAATGATAAAACGATTTTTTTAAATCAACAAAATGATAATTTGGTTGTTAACTAATGACAAAGTGTGATATTAGAAGAGTATGAATGATGGCAAAACACATCTATTTGTTTGTCTGTTACAAAACATTTTCGGCATAAGTTTTACAATAACACTATTAGCGAGTAAACGATTGTATCATTCAATGATATAGAATAGAATAGAATAGAATAGAATAGCCTTTATTGTCATTGTACAGAGTACAACGAAATTGGAGTGCCACTCCCTTATATACTGTAACAGTAACAGTAAGATGTTTGGTTAAAATACTAAGGCTCCACACTTACACGGGTATTTTTCAAAACGGAGATTTTCCGTTTGTGTTTTTTAAAAAAAAAAAATCCTGTCCACACCTAAACGCAAAATTGAAGGAAAACGCTGCTACGAACATGCCAAAGCAACAGGTGGCGACATATTCCTAACCTTGTAGAAATGTTGGCCAATCATAAGTAATGGCCTGTATTTGTATAGCGCTTTACTAGTCCCTAAGGACCCCAAAGCACCAGTGTGTGAATCCACTCATTCACACACTGGTGATGGCAACTGCATTGTAGCCACAGCCACCCTGGGGTGCACTGACAGAGGCGAGGCTGCCGGACACTGGCGCCACCGGGCCCTCTGACCACCACCAGTAGGCGGTAGGTGAAGTGTCTTGCCCAAGGACACAACGACCGAGACTATCCAAGCCGGGACTCTAACCGGCAACTTTCCGATTACAAGGTGAACTCCCAACTCTTGAGCCAGATCGCCTATAAAGTCTAGAAGCCTGGACGGGAAAGAGTAAACAAAGATGGGGCATAGAAGTAGAACTGAGTCCTATGTGTGGAGGGGCAGTAACTGTGTGTGTATATGTAAGCATTTAAACACTGCAGAGAGTACAAGTAACAGTATTTTGTGTAAGTCCGCCATTGTAGAAATTAATTTCACCGAAACAATAACTTGGCGCACAGTGTGACGTCAAAAAAGGCGCACACCTTTGACCCTGCGTTTTCTCCGTTTTCCTCGTCCACAGTAAATGCAAAAACGGACTTTTCGAAAATATCCACCCTGGCAGGCGTTTTTAAAAATCTCAGTTTTCAGTGACCGAAACGCTGTTTACGTGTGGATGAAAGGTGCAAACGCATAGAAAAATCTGCATTTTCAAAAATACTCGGTAGGTGTGGACGTAGCCTAAGATATCATGTTTTCAAATTGTCCAAATCTGCAGGCAATATTTGCTCTTCCCTACTTATTCTACAGTTTTAACAGTTTACATATGACAAAAAAAGATTATTGAGCAAAGTATACATATGTAAGTTTATATTTCTACACTTTTTTCAGTAAGCTCAAAATGTGAATATTTATCAAAAATATAATAATATTTCCAAGGTCAGTTTTCAGAGTAGAATAAAAAAGCTATTGTAAGCTGCCCTGAAGCACAAAGACCTTTACTTATTTTTATTGTGGGTTTTCCTCCTGGTCATAGCTGCACTGCTTAACAATGTTCCCTCTAATTTTTCACATGTCTGAGCGAACGCACAAACTCCCTGAGCGATCCCTTGGACCACTGTGAGCGACATCAGACATGTGCACTGTGGTCACGCCGGCATCAAATCCATCCAAGTTTCATGGTTTATTAAAATAATCAAATTACAGCGTTTACATTTATGTTAGACTACTTTTAATTAACTGCTTTAGCCCATTTACAATGGAAATGTAAAAAAATCTTGTTCATGACCTGTGTAGTATGTTAACACTTGGAAGTAAAAATAACTTGAACTCCAATTTCGAAAACACAACTTTCTTTCTTTTTTTTAATTTTTTTTTTTTTTATAAAGCTCTTACTTGTATTATGAGTCTGTGGTCTGGGAGAGAGTCCTGTAACTCTGTCTCCAAAATACAGTATATAAAGACCAATGCTGGGCAATTAATTATATAGTTACTTCTTCAAAAAAGTAACTCAGTTTGGCAAACAACAACGTTTTTGCAGCTATTTTTTAAATGCAGCCAAGGCGTTTTTAAATAAACATTTCAAACTATTTACAGAACAATCAGCTGTTCTGCATCAAATCTGATGCCACAAAAATTATTTGTGTCACTCCAAAAAATTATTTCTGTCCACTATGAGATAAAGGAGAACAACAGCCTGATACCTGCAGGCCTGATAACAGGAGATGTATCACTCCTGTAACACCTGTAACATTCAGCAGTTGCCTCATTGTTCTGACACACACAACAAAACTACTGACTACACTACACACTAACGACACAAGATTTGCGCTAAACGTTGCAAATCTCTCACATCTCAAAACACCGCCATCACTCCTAAAACTTCCCCCTTTCTTAACAACTAGATGCCACGTTGCCATATCATTTTTGATTGGTTGACATGGTACTTTTTTGGACGAATAGGAAAGGCAGAGGGGAGTGGGGTTTGTTTTTGCTCACAGGTGCCTTTTTTCTTATAAAACGCCGATTTAACCGTTTCTTCCTGCAGTAAATATAAACAATGACAGTATTCAGGAAGAAAACCAAACATTTCATATATTTTTTTTATCACAACCCTGGTTTTATGTGGCCTATCAACACAATTTAAAAACTGCTATAAAGTCCCCAATTTTTCCGTCAATTGTTCCGTCTGTCCTGCTCACATCTCCAATGCTTGTACACCTTGTCATTAACGTGGCTTCTCTCCACATCAGCCACGCCCCTTTGCTAGCTAAAACACCGGTGTCGGCACATAAGGACGCTGTCATAGCCTGTCAACCACGTTGATTGGCTGCGCATATACGCATTATTGGCTGGACTATGGGATAAGGTGGCATCGTTCCCATATCGTTCCCAGTCACTTACTGACTAACACTGCGAAACAGAATTGTTAAAGTATTAATTTTAATTTCAATTCAGGTTAGATTTCTTTTGTGCCCAACGCAGAATTTCTGTGCGCAGAGACCGTGCCAGCAGTACGCAATTGCGCATGTGCGCAGCTTAGAGGGAACATTGCTGCTTAAGTTAAACTCCTTGCTTTTTTCTGAGTAAAGTTGGGCTTGTATGTATTAATATGTAATTACTTTCAGCCCAGCTTACAGGATACAATACTGCGTCTCTCCAAATTAACACTTTAACAATCGTTCTTGCTTTAAAAAGAAAACAAAAATTTAAAAAAAGATAAAAAAAAAAAAAACCATTTGAGGGATTGGATATGAGAACAGTTCCTGGTGCTCATTTCGGAAGTCAACAAAGGATTATACGTACGTCAAAGCCTCAATTAGTCAAATATTTAGAGTCTAAACAATGTTTTCAAGAGTAACCATAAATTACACAAGGATTTTAGAAACATATTAAAGTCTTTATGAACTTTATTAACTTCTAAAATTTTAATCGGATGCTTTGGTTTTACCTGTATAATAGGCATTGTTCAAATTAAATTCCTGAACCAATTATTGGGGTTATTCTGATAGTAACTATTGGGCTACCATTTATTTGGTCAAATTAAGGTATCTCTTGCAATCAGGCAGGAGGTTTGTTGATTCATGTTTGTGAAATCCAAACATGGCTCCTAAACAGAAGCCTTTTGCACCTCCTCAGATGAAACTGGGTTAGAGGGAAAGGGGGCGGACAGGTCTTCTGGATCGTGTTCGATGGAGCAGTCGGTTTGGTCGGTGGTGACAGAGCAGGTGGAGCCGTCGGAGCTCACCACATCAGACTGGGAGACATAGTTGTACTCACGCACAGGGCAGGCACGCTCGTTGTAGTCCGGTTTAAAATTGTCTTTCAGGCCTTTGGAGAACTGAAACCAATCCTTAAAAAAGAGAGAAAAAAAACCTCACTTGTAACGAATAATTGCTTCCCCAGATTTTGATGACCAAAATCACTCAAACACAAGAGTATTTCTATTTTTAGCCATTAAGTGGCACTATTGTCAGGCTTTTCGTCCAACTCTTGATCCAGAGATATTAAAATCTGTTAAACTGATTGCCTGAACATCTACAGACATTCAAGGTATCCAGAAGATGTAAACCAAGCTGTTCTTTAGTCCAATCAATGACATAAATCAACAGCTACTGAACTAATTGTCATGAATCTTGATGCAAGTGTTAACATTAAAGCTACTAAAATCCATGTAGAAGCTCATTTGCCATTTAATTCTTCCAGTAACTTCAATAGCTTTCCAAATTCATATTAACAACTATATAAAACCCTTGTAAGACTGGGAATTTCAGGGAGTGGACAGAACTCTGGATGCCACTGACCTCGATGTTATGCAGGAATGGAGATGGCTTGGGAACCACAGGGACGAGGATGATTCTGAGCCTGTATGGGAGGTAAGGAAATCTTTAGCATTCACATTATCATCAAACAGCAACAACTGCATTAGACTTTGTTGGTTTCAGAACTCCAACTGAGCGTGGCTGGCAGACAGCTTTTGACATTAAGGTCAGGATCATCCGATATAAAGGTGCAAAATGCTCCAGATCCAGTCCCCCCATAGATGGATGATAACTGTGATCTTTAGAAATAAAATATTTATATCCCATAACACATACATAGCTTTTGATTAATTAACAATGCAATCTGTCTCTCCAACCATTGTTAAAAATAATTAATGGTAGTCATGTGGAAGCTAATAATCCCCCATATTCACAAGTAATCGCCACAGCAGGGAGCTCTATGTGTTTGGCACATTTTTACACTGTGTCCTTACTGATGTAATGATATTCTGATGTTCTGACAGGCCTAAACAACAGAGTGGCCTCAGATCTAGTCAAATTGCTGATCTAAAATATTCTTTGAGTCTGCCGCTGTCCGTGTCACATATACTTCGGGAACTTTATGAATGAATGAAGTCAATTTGGAAAAGTTTCCAAAATGCACAGCGTGTAACACATTGCGTTATCTGTAAAGTCTGTTCTTTGATTGCTTTGCTGGTTAATTTGTTTCAGTGTTTCTGGAAGGAAACTTTGTAGGCTTAGCTTATTTCACAGGTGTGTTTAATGTCAAGCATTTTCCTTTTCGTATTATTTGAAGGTTATTTAAGGTCAGACTTTTATAGATCAAATAACTAATGTGTAATTTTGAAGAAAGTAAGAGTTTCAAAGCTAGACCTTGGTTATCAGCATCCATATTATAAAATTTAGCCACAGTAAAGTTCCCTGTGTTTGCATTTATTGTTATAGGTATATATTGTTGTTAATTTGTTTAGAGAAGCAGTCATAGAGTTATAAAATACATCCAAATGATCTATGAGCTGATCCTAATACATCGTGGGATAACCAGGGGCGTGATGAAGGTGATTCAGGGTAGCAATTTATGATGAATGTATAGTGAATAATGTGTAATGGTTTGATGTCTGTACTGACAACTGAGAAAAATCTGGGTTACCATCAGCAATGGTAACAGTAATTAAAAAAGGAATGTTTGTAACTTTGCATGATTGCAGATCATTTAGAAGGGATCTTTGGTCAAAACACATCTTCCTGTACCAGAATTTAGTCTTGTAGGCGTCTCTGTGTACTGTGGTCTTCTGCCTTCAGAAATGTTGTGTGTTTCCTGGGTTGTGTGAGATCTGTCAGATGTTGTGCAATGGAAACTTTCCACAAGACAACAAGCCTTTGATACCATCTAAAAACGATCTTTAATCTTTTCTTTGGGTCACGCGTTTGCACTCGTTTTGGACAAGTGATCTGCATTTGTGTTTGGTTGATGGTTTTTTTGCAGCCTAGATTTTATACACTAGTGCACAGTGGATATATTAATTGTTAATTATTTGTTTACATTTGCTGTACTGATACAGTAAGTCCGGGGTGTCAAACCTAAGGCTTGAGTGCCCGAATCGGCCAGGCAAAGGCTCCAATATGGCCCACTGGATGATTTTGAAAAATGTGAAGAAGGGCATACATTTTTGACTTTTAACTGTGTTTTCACAAGTTCAAAACAGATAAAAGATAAATATTTAAATGACAGAAAAGTAAGTATAAAAGTGCGTAGGTATATATAAAAGTATACAAGTTAACAACAACTTTATGTGCTATTGTACACTGCAATTATAGTCTGTGGCTGTCACAAAATCACATGGTACACCACCTGGATCTGTGATCTGATCATAGAGCAATCATTTGAGTTATGGAAAAACCCACCTTTCATGGTGCATTAATAGCATGGCCAGCAGGATGAAACTGATTACACCCACCAGATATATCACCGGCGTCCACGGAGACATCAAATCTTTAGAGTCTTTGAAGAAGAAAAAAGAAGGAAGTTATTTGTATGAATGCTTAATTCTAATGTTTTGTGCAGTGTGGAAGCAACATTAGAGCCACTTAAGTTTTAATAATTGTTTGAATCCCAGTTTGAAAGTTGTTGAATAAGAAACAAAATCTACCTATGATTTCTTTGCAGTGTTCAAACATTTTAACTGATCATTATTATTAGTGTTTTGTTGCAGAGCTAATTGTCCCCCCAAGATGACCCTATATTCACTGGCAGACATCGTTTCACCATGCCACTAAGAATATCTATGAAGTAGTTTTACATGTGCTGTTGTTGGATCCCCAGACCACAGGCTCACTCCAGTCACTCCAGAATATGGACTCTCCACAGGAATCATCTATTCTGTTCCGCACTTGCAGCTCATATCGGGAACTGCTTGAGGGCAAGTTGATGCAGTATTTCTGTATCCCGGCGCTAACTTTAGAGAACTGGAAAATCAGACGGAGTTGAGAAAACATTAGACTGGGAGAGAACAAAGAGAGATGAAAAAATAAAGGAATTAAAAAGGATGAAAGAAACCTACATCCCAGTTATTGTTGTTTGTCCTGAAGCGGACCTCACCCTCCACACAGTGTAAGGGAGCAGGAGAAGTGTGGTTCCAGTAAAACCACAGATTAAAGTCCGACCCATTCAGGACAGTCAGGTTGGTTGGTGGGTTTAACTTGACTGGAGAAGTATACAAATAGGCAATAACATGAGGAGGCATGCCAATTTACTTTTATGACAGAACACTAACAGCAATTTTCCTTTAAGTTACTGTGTAAAGTGTAAAAAACGTCCCATTAATTCTAATAATGATCCCTTCATTAATTGATTTATTGTTTTAAACTCAAAGTTAATACCAGGTTATATGCATACCTTGTTTTTTAAGCTCGTGACCCTTCTCAAAATTTTCGCTCCCATTTGTCAGTCGAGTTCGAAATGTTTTGAATCTATCTCCCGAATCTACCTGCTGGTTACATCCAATGTTCACGTTGTTCTCTGTCAAATAGTGGTTGCATATTTTCCATTGGTCATTGCCCAACCTGTAGATGAATCAAAAACATAACTATTCCAACAAAGAAAAGCATGCAGACGTATCATATTTAGATACAATCAATATGATCTTAAATATGATGTAATCTCAAGTTTAATACTTTATTAGTTCTAGTTCTAATTGCTCAACAGTCCAAACTATTTGCCATATTTCTCATTTCATGATGTTCTAAATGTTTTCAGTTGTTGAAAGGTCTGGACTGCAGGCAGGCCGCTTCAACACCCGGACTCTTCTACTATGAACTTCTTTCATGCCTAATAAATATTCCAGGTCTGTTACCCAAGTAGTTGATATTTTTCTTAATAATTTCTTAATATTTTCTTAAAATGAAACTTTTTTCTCAGTTTTTTCTATGGTCTATTGTGAATAAAATATAGTGCTTATGAGACCACTCTATTCTGTTTTTCTTTTCATGTCACATAGCATCCCAACATTTTTGGAATTGGGGTTGTAGTTCAGAAAAGGTAGAAAATGTCTTTTACTGTTAATGCTGAGAGTAAAATAGATTTTCATCACATCTTTCACTCAAGTACAACATTTAATTATAGTCTGATTAATTTTAGAAGACATTACAAAGATGTGTTGGTGCTATTATCAACAACTACGCACTTGCTGTAGAAGGTGTAGTTGACCTCAGGAGTCCCGGTCTTATTCCATTTGCAGGAAACATAATCTAGATTCACCACCAAGCAATCCACATCTGTTAAAAAACATGATAGATTTGAGATCAATGAAAGATAAAACCTAAAACGATGAATGATGGTTAGGCATATATATGAAACCTACACAAAGGGCAACAGACTGATAGTAGTACAGTCATACACTCAAAGACAAGGAAGTAAGAGCCCCGTGCTCTGGAGGGGAAATTCTCACAAAACGTGCTTAATAAAGGAAGGCTCTGCATTAACCTGAATTTAATATAGATAGTGTTCATTCATATCTCAAGGTACAAATAACTTCTCAAATATACATTGAATGATAGTGTTTGGGATATAAGTTAATGTAATATAACAAAAGTAGAGCGATCGACTTTCAAAGATGTCGACACAGGTTTACGACGCTTCCTACCGATGTTGCGAATGTCTTGTATTTTTTTAAAAAACGTATTCGATCATCTTCATATGCTCTTACCTTGTGATTTTTTGGCAAATACGTGTCCAGTCAGATAAAGAAGTAGAAGTAATCTTGTCGACATCATGGCGAATAGAAACAGGATGTAAGCCCGCATCGACACTGAAATATCACCGTGTCTTGTGGGGGTTTTTTTTCTTCTCTTCCTGTCAATGTATTGGTGCCTGTAGCACGGCTGTGTCACTATATGGCAGATACACAGTCTTCATACTTTCATAGTTCATAAAGTTAATAGTTAATAAAACTCTAGTTAAGAGGTTAAATCAAGTTTTTGGATGTCATGATTACTTAATGTATATAAGCTGTCTTAATCATTTTAGCAGGAGAAAGACAAAGTAGAGAGAAGGTAAAATCTCTGTTAATATTTTTGTTTTTTTAAGGGTGTTTTTTATATCACAGGTATTATCTGTTGGATGTAAATGCAATAGCTTCAACTCAAAGACATCTGATATTTTTTACCACAATGAGACAAAAGTGATAACAAACTCATTCTGGTCATTTAACACAGGTGTGACACTAAACTGTTGCAGTTTACTTTTATGTTCCTTCTTATTTGGACAAATCTGTCAATTACAAAAGAATATTAAAGAATCCCGACCCTTTTAACAGGTCAAATTAGCTGAATTACTACTCATCCGTAGCACGAGATGTCATAACATTCGATCAGTGTCACTTTCAGAGTTTTGTGGGTTTCCTGTCAGAGGAAACTGCTTTCAAAAATATAGACTGAAACTATGTACACTAGACTTGAAGTTGGACTTTTAATGTCCTGTAAAATAAGTACAACACACAGAGAAGGTTTTATGCAATCTTTATTGAATCGTTCAAGAAATAGTTCTGTTTTTAGTCAGCCAGTCTTACATTTTCTCTGCACTTCTACTATCATTTGCTGCCAAAGTGAGCTTAAGGTGGATCTTGTTGGTTTAGCTAAGATTTTCTTTACAGTCTACGAGTCCTGTATGTATTCTTTTCTGATGAAAGAGAAATGATGGATAAATCAGAATCACATTGTGAAATGTAGTGTCCATGTTCATGCACAGCATAAACATAAGCAATTTTATAATTTTAACCTGTTTAACCAAATGAGTTAATTTCTTACATTCATTTCATCAAACAGCAGCCGTCAACTCCCACATCTCAGATAAATATTTAAACTAACATTTGCTGTTTGAAGCCACAGACAACAGTTAGCTCAGCTTGGTTCATTTACAGCAAACTGGATCGGGGGCTTTCTGTGTAAATTGCTGTGGTTTTTTTTACTGCCGTATTCTGTTTTTTGGAGAGGAAACGCAGCGTTTTTAAGAACTGTGCTATCTCTGTTCTAACCACAGTTATAATGAAGTACAAATGTTCAGATAAAATACTTACTTTAAACTCAACACACTCACACATAGCACCTTTCACTTGGTCGACGTCTGCGGGTTCACAAGTAGAGACCTTACAGTTCATTTTGACATTTTTTGACAGCTGCAGCAGTGTGGCATTTACTGATTTGACTTTGTGTGTCTATGTCTGTGTGTCATAATGACACTATGTGGTTCTGTCTACACCTACTTTGACTGGAACTTATAACAAAGAGGAGTTTCAAGTTCTCTGGTCTGTGTTTATTTGTTGTCTATCAAAACAGTGACGTCACCAGTGTACTGGTGACAATGAGTCCACATTTCCTTATCTGACAGAAATATATGAACTTTCCCGTTATTTCTGACCGTATGTTAAATAAATGTCTGCCAGATAAATACAAAAATAAAAGCTCAATTGACAAAACTAGTTTAGAAAATGATTTTAGACCCTTGTGATTCTTATATTTTGGCACCTGTGTGCAGACAAAATGTACGTGTCCAAACCAGCCTCCCCTCTCTGATAGTCTCCAAATATTTACTGTGCAATAATCAATAATTGCACAGTGTCAAAGTATATCATGCATTGCAAACTGCACATACACAGCTTCACAGAATACAGGTAATGCCTCGTCATACAGTGCGTGTAGATATGTTTGATGACCAAAAAACAAAAAAAACAAATTAGGATCAATATATAGGACTATAAAAATACACACACACACACACACACACACACACACACACACACACACACACACACACACACACACATAGCTCAAACAAATAAACCGAACCCAAAAATAAGACACCCCAGATCTGAATTAATGAAATATTCGTATACTTTGTTCTTGACATAGCTGAATTTTTTGACAACAAAATCACACAAAAATTATCAATGGAAATCAAATGTAGCTACCCATGGAGGTCTGGATTTAGATTCATACAAAATTAAAGTGGAAAAACAGACTACAGGCTGATCCAGCTTTGATGTAATGTCCTTAAAACACGTCAAAATGAGGCTCAGTAGTGTGTGTGGCCTCCATGTGCCTTTATGACCTCCCTACAACGCCTGGGCATGCTCCTGATGAGGTGGTGGATGGTCTCCTTCCAGACCTGGACTAAAGCATCCGCCAACTCCTGGACAGTCTGTGGTGCAACGTGGCGTTTGTGGATGGAGCGAGACATGATGTTCCAGATGTGTTCAATTGGACTCAGGTCTGGGCCGGCCAGTTCATAGCCTCAGTGCCTTTGTCTTGCAGGAACTGCTGACACACTCCAGCCACATGAGGTCCAGCATTGTCTTGCATTAGGAGGAACCCAGGGCCAACTGCACCAGCGTATGGTCTCACAAGGGGTCTGAGGAGCTCATCTTGGTATCTGGCGAGCACATGGAGGGCTGTGTGCCCCCCTCCCCAAACAAATGCCACCCCACACCCTTACTGACCCACTGCCAAACCGGTAATGCTGGAGGATGTTGCAGACAGCAAAACGTTCTCTATGGTTTCTCCAGACTCTGTCACATGTGCTCAGTGTGAACCTGCTTTCATCTGTGAAGAGCACAGGGCGCCAGTGGCAAAGTTGGCAATCTTAGTGTTTTCTGGCAAATGCCAAACGTCTTGCACAGTGTGGGGCTGTAAGCACAACCCCCACCTGTGGATGTCGGGCCCTTATGCCACTCTCATGGAGTCTGTTTCTGACTGTTTGAGCAGAGACATGCACATTTGTGGTCTGCTGGAGGTCACTTTGCAGGGCTCTGGCAGTGATTTCACAAAAGTGTGATTGAGTTGGAGTTTCATTGTGTTGTTTATCTGTTCCCTTTATTTATTTATTTATTTATTTATTTATTTATTTATTGAGCTGTGTATATAAAAACAGCCACATGGGTCAATACATAAGTGGGGCACAGAAAGGAATAGCCAGAGGAGCAAAACACCAGCTACTGGTAGACAGAGCAGTCACCTGAGACTGCAAGACTAAGATGACCAACCTGTGCACTGCTTGGATTGACTGCAAGAAGGCCTATGACTCGATGCCTCACACCTGGATCCTGCAATGCCTACAACTATACAAGATAAACAGGACCCATAAGAGAGTTTATCAGGAACTAAATGGGGATGTGGCGTAGAACACTAGAGATCAAATGGTAAATGGCCTGTATTTATATAGCGCTTTACTAGTCCCTAAGGACCCCAAAGCGCTTTACACATTCAGTCATCCACCCATTCACACACACATTCACTCACTGGTGATGGCAAGCTACATTGTAGCCACAGCCACCCTGGGGCGCACTGACAACTACAAGCCCGTAGGCACAAGTCACCGTCAAGTGCGGGACCTACCAAGGAGATGTGCTGTCCCCACTGCTGTTCTGCATAGTCCTGAACCCCCTCAGTGAGATCGTTGACAGACTGGCTACAGATACCCACCAGAGAATGGAGCAATTGTCAATCACCTCCTCTACATGGATGACATCAAGCTGTATGCCAGGAGTCAACGAGACATTGATTCACTGATCCACACCACAGAATATACAGCAACAACATTGGAATGTCATTCGGATTGGAGAAGTGTAGTCGAATGGTAACGAAGAGATGGAAGGTCATCAGAACTGAGGGGATCGAACTACCAGAAGGCAACATTGCAGACATCGAAGACAGCTACAAGTACCTGGGGATCCCACAGGCAAACGGGAATTATGAAGAGGCAGCTAGCAAAGCTGCAATCACTAAGTTCCTGCAGAGGGTCAGGCAAGTCCTGAGGAGTCAGTTGAACGGTAAGAACAAGATCCGAGCTATCAACACCTGTCCATGATCAGGTACCCTGCTGAGATAATAAGCTGGCCAAAGGAGGAGCTCGAAGCCACTGACATCAAAACCAGAAAGCTCTTTGAGGGTTTCATCCCAAGTCCAGCACCAGCAGGCTGTATGCTAAGTGGAAGGAAGGAGGGTGAGGACTGGTAAGTGTCAGCATCACAATCCAGGATGAGCCAACAAACATCCACGAATACATCAGGTGATGCGGACCGTCAATGTAACAGTGGCCCCAGTGGTAACTGGAGTGCTAGGTGAGTGGCTCCAGCAGATCCCAGAAACAACACTGGAGATCTCTGTCCCGAAGACCTCAGTCCTAGGAACAGCTAAGACACTGCGCAGGACCCTCAAGCTCCCAGGCATCTGAAACAGGACCTGTGCTTGAAGGATAAAGACCGCTGCTGGGGGCGAGAGTGGATTTTATTTTTTTTTTAGAAAATATGTCACTGTAATGTAGACCGGGGATTCCATCACCATTCCCTGTATTTTTATTAGTTTATGAGGGACTAGTATTTCAAAAGCTAGATAAAAAAGGAACACACTGATGGTTTCACGATTCGTTATTAGGTTAATGGAGTTTGACATTTGACTAGTATTTAAATGACAGTGTGTGAAAGTTGAAGAAGGGTGGGGGTGGGGGGATTAAAGTGTTTGTAAGACTCTGGAAATATGTAAATTTGTCTTCTTTGTGTTATATTTTGGTTTGGTGTTTATTTATGTGGATGTTTGTTTTTTCCATTTGTTTTGTTACCCTCACACTTGGGTTATTCCAGATGCTCGCCTGAAGCAGGTAGAGTGTAAAAGGAAGCCAGTTGCTTTTAGAGTAGTTAGTTGGTGTGTGTTAGTGTCTTGCATCTAATAATAAACTCTACCATTTGATGGATACATTTTATTCCAGCCTCATGTCATTATTTTGAACCCATAAATGACCGGTGGCCAATGCACGCAGATTTTGGGGACATTTCTGCTCCAAATTCACCGTACAGCTGCTCACTTTTGTTTTAGCATCAAGAGTCCGCACCATCTTGGAGATGTCCGCTGATTACTCAGCATTTCTTCACACCTAGCTATTATGATCTCGTCCCATTACAGAAGGAGGCATACTGTTCCAGATCATTTTCCCATAACTGATAACTAGAAACGAATACATAGGTGTAAATAGAGCTACAGAATAAATTAACTGGTAACCCGTATAAAACATATCCTCCGCTATCTGGAAATGTGGGACTACGGAACCAGTATTAAAATTTGACATTGAAAAGTCGTCCAGAAAGACCACATTTGGACTATGTACGTCAACACTAGACAATCAGTAGACCTTAAAAAAAAAAGGACATCACCTTATGTTACATTAAAAAAAACAACACCATAATAGCTTACCAGGGCTTTTTTTTTTTCAGCAAACACAGGTCCGATAAGACAGAGAAGTAGAAGCAGTCTGGCTGGCATCATGGCGCACTAAAACAGGATTTTAACAGTAGAGGTTCAAGTTTACCTTTAACTGTTGCTGTTTGGTATGGAGGACCAGAAGAGCCACACGCATCAAAATAAAGAATTTTGTCCTTCAATAATGAATTGTGCCATAAAATATTCATTAGTAAATAAAATTTTTATTTATTTAATTGAAATATTACTAAAGTAATTTATTATTAAATAAACGAATTTAAAATAAAAAAATATTTGTAAATCACTTTTTCACAGTTAATACTTCAAATTGATTTCGCAAAAAAGAATTTAACCCTTAATAAAAATGTCATTTAAAAATCATTTTCGAATTCCAAATAAAACAATAGATTTTTAAAACCTTTTTTAAAATGCAACTTTAAAAAGAGAAATAAGTCGATGTATTCCCAAAAAGTTGATTCTCTTCATCTGGATGTAGCATCAGTGGGAGAAACGTTTCTTCCCTCATCCAAGTGACTCAGCTTCACTCATCTCAGCTGATTCCCCAATCTTATAAATTGAACATTTGCACAATGACTGAAACTAGCACCACCGGGCTGTGTGTTGAGTTTCTTGACCATTCATCAACAACCACTGATCAAAGACTGTTGATCAATAGCCAGGAGTGCCATTCACAGAGAGTTGGGGAATGGCTGCAATCACAGCATTGTAAGATGGAGAAAGATGTACCCTTAGACCCCACCCTTGATTCAGAGATGGTCTTTTCCTTTTCACATGAGCCCCAACTCCCTGTGTTTTAATTATTTTAACAGAAGAAAAACAAAGTAGAGAGAACGTAACATCTGTGTTAACGTTTTTAATATTTTTAAGGGTTTTTTGTAAGGGTGTCTTTTATATTACGGGTATATCTGTTGGATCCAAATGCAATGCTTCAAGTCAAAGACATCTGATGTTTTTTATCACAATGACACAAAGGTGAAAACAAACTCTCATTTAGCACAGGTGTGACACTAAAAGGTTGCAGTTTACTTTGATGTTACTTCTTATTCTTCTTATTAAACTTCTTCTTATTTGGACAAGTCTGTCAATTATTTATGCAAAAGAATATTAAAGAATCCCGACCCTTTTAACAGGTCAAATTACTACTCATCCGTAGCACGAGATGTCATAACATCTCGTGCTATAGAGTTTTGTGGGTTTCCTGTCAGAGGAAACTGCTTTCAAAAATATAGACTGAAATGATGTACACTGACATTTGAAGTTGGACTTTTAATGTCCTGTAAAATAAGCATAGTACAACACACAGACAAGGTTTTATGCAATCTTTATTGAATAATTCGCTGGGCACGGAGTGCGAATCCAGTTTACTCCATCTCCATCACAGACAATTAGACGTGGAAGTAGTGATGTTTTAGTTTAGTGAAAATGTAAAAAATGGGTTCTGTTACATTACCATTCAATTTGAGGGTTACAACAGATAATATAATATATTTATTGTTCTCACGTGGTATTGGACGGGATTATTTTAACACAAGAACATTTTGCCTGATAATTGTTTTTATCCTCCTGTAACTTTACTGTGTAAAGAGCGAAAACCTCCAAAGTTGCAGGAGTAGTTAGTCGCTATAAGGTTGGTTTGGAAGCATATTTGGCGATGCTTCAACCTCTGCTTTGCGTTTGTGTGGGAGCCCTTTTAAAAAACCTTTTTTTTTCTAATTCATACTGCTGTCCTCCTAGGGGGCACGCCCCCCGCTTTGGGAACCACTGCTTTAAACTCACACATAGCACCTTTCACTTGGTCAGTGTCTGCGAGTTCACAAGTGGACCCACGTCAGAGGCTTTACCATCGATTTTGACATTTGTTTGTCAGCTGCAGCAGTGTGGCACTTACTGATTTCACTTTGTGAGTCTATGTTTGTGTTTCAAAATTATAATATGTGGTTCTGTTTAGACCTACTTTGACTGGAACCTAACACAAAGAGGACTTTGAAGTGCTCTGGTCTGTGTTTATATGTCTGTCTATCAAAACAGTGACGTCACCAGCGTACTTTCAGCACGGTACAATGAGTCCACATTTCCTTATCTGACAGAAATCTATGAACTTTCTGTTATTTCTGAACTTTTGTTAAGTAAATGGCTGCCAGATAAATACAAAAATGACAAAATTAGTTTGCAAAGGGATTTTAGACACTTGTGATTCTTCTTTGGGGACAGACAAAATGTACATGTTCAAAACAGCCTCCCCTCTCTGACTTTGTCTCCAAATATTAACTCTGCAACGATCAGTAATCGCACAGTGTAAATGACCTTTAAATTTGGTAAATATTTTTACGTTTGTTTGAAGGCACTTCGGTTTTATTTTGAAATCCATGCTTTTATTTTGAAACAGGAAACTGGCACAAAACCGTTAAAGGGCTGTTAGTAACGTTTCTTTTAGGATATGGTAAAATAGTGTGCCTTAAAGTGAAAAATATGTACGTTTACTTTGCCAATTAGTACCTGGCTGACAGTGGCACAAGGTTTGTTAATGTTTCCTTTAACGGAATAAGTTACATGCAATCAAAATGTCGTTTAATAGAGTTTATGTTGTTAACCTTGACCTTTATGTGTAGTTGTAAGTTAGTGAGGTGATATAATGAATTGAGTGATGTAAATTTGATGTATATGCTATATGTGAGCAGGAGAAATTTGTTTCCTTTGATCTTATGGTATTAATATTGCTGGTTTTGTTTTGCTCCTAGCTCTTACCGTGTCTTCACTGAATGTTTCAATAAAAACATTTCCAATAAAACCTCTGTGAAGCATCAGTATAAGAGACCATCATTCAGCCAGGGATGCTACACACAGTGTCAAAGTGTATCATGCAATGCAAGCTTCAAGTACACAGCTTCACAGAATACAGGTAATGCCTTATTATAAAGTGTGTGTAGACATGTGTGATGTTTTATTTAAAAAACAAAAAAACAAAAACAAAACTAGCCAAAATCATGGGATTTATTTTCCAACCTAACACATTAAAAGTCAATAAATACAATGCAATAATATACAACAACTTAAATAAGTGCTTGCGAATGAGCTAAAAGGTTTTCCAAGACCTTATGTAAAAAAATAAAAATAATGGGAATGATTAACAGTAGAATGTGCTGCAGTTAAAATCACTGATATACACCAAACGGAAGCATTTTTCACAATTTGTGTTCTTCTGGGGGAGTAGTGCAAACATCAGTTTGATTTTTGATATGCTGAGGAAATTCAAAAACTTACATCATGGAAGCAGAGAGCTGATCGCTGCACCCTGATTAATACTCAAGAATGCATATCATCTAAAATATGTTTTCAAGAGTGTCAGCACTTTATACCACCTGTCTTAACAAAAAGGAAAAGCCTTTTATTAAGATGGAGTACTATGTATCTGTGAGGTTAAAGATTTCAAAGAGATGTTAAGGTCAAGTTTATTAAACTAAAATCTGTAGTCTGAGGTTTTATTTAAAAGGCTAAGCTCGGGTGTAACTGATTAAATACCTCCAGCAAATATTGGGTTTCTTCACACTGGGAATTGTTGTAAACCCTTCTAATAATCACTGTCACCAAGCAGGAGATGTATCAGTGTAACAAAGTCCCGATAGTTTGGCTCAGGCAAACCTAACCCTGGTTCACGACCTGCTTAGTCAGAAACCTGCAGCACCTCCTCAGATGGAACTTGGGAGCTGGAAGAGGACAAGGGGACGTACAGATCTTCTGCATCGTTCACATCGATGGACACAGAGCAGTGGGTTTGGTTGGTGCTGACAGAGGAGGTGGAGTCGTCAGAGTTCATGCTGTCAGACTGGGAGACGTAGTTGTACTCACGCACAGGGCAGACCTGCTCATTGTAGCTTGCTTTAAAATTTTCTTTCAGACCTTTGGAGAGCTGAAACCAGTCCTTAAAGAAGTGGGGAAAAAATCTTTACATTAATTTGACAAATAAATGCAACAAACTGGATTTTTGAGTTACAATTGTTTAATGGGTAACTCCTTCCCCAGAGCTCTACGCTGAAAAATCATTTGAACACAAGAGTATTTATATTTTTAGCCATTAAGTGGTGCTGTTCTCAGTCTACTGGTTCACCTCTTGATCTGGACAATTTCATGACTATTAAACTGTCTGCCAGGACTTCTACAGACATTTAAGGTTCCCAGAAGATGTGAACTAATGCTTTGGTGCTCTTTTCTACTAATACTGAATGGACTATCATGAATCGTGGCGTTATCATTAACATCAAAGCACTGTGATACCCAATACGGTCTCATACAGCCACTAACATGCATATTTATTACTCTTCATTTTATTCTTTTAGTATCTTAATTAGTTTTCTAGCTTTAGAAATCTAGTAAGAAATCTTGTGTGACTGGGAATTGGAAGGATAAGACTGACCTCTGGATGTTACTAACCTCAATGTCATGAAGAATCGGGGATGGTTTGGGAACTGCAGGGATCAGGATGATTTTGAGCCTGTATGGGAGGTAGGGACACTGTTACTCTCGGTTTTTCATAACAAGAATATTTGCATTCACTTTGTTCACGCTAACACCTCAGCACTGTAACTGAGTGGGGCTGAGCTTTCCGGATCAGGAATCCGAATGCATGATGCAGGACATCCAGTAAAAGTCAAATTTGCATTCACAGTTCGTACATGGCTTGGTAGCACACAGAACAAAAAACTCAGGCAAAGAGCAAAGAAAACAGATGACAAGAACTTAAAAGATCAATCAACAAAGAGCAAGCTGGGGCAAAATGCAAGAAGAGGGAAAAGAATGCATTTGGGAAAACTCGAAACACCAGTGTTTGGAAACCCTGACTACAGTAACAACCTGGAAACAATAAGCAGACTGGATACTTTAGCTGAGGTAAAACAGGAAAAAAACAGGAAGTTAAAACAACCAAGACACAAATAATAGGTGATGTCTGGGATGGATAAGGGGGAAGTGTTGCTGTGACTAAGCTTATGTCAGCCAGCATCATCTGGGGTTTTTAAGCCTCGGGCAGAAAAGCCTGTCTGCATGTCTTACAGGTGAGAAACCACATTCCTCTCTAAGACGTGTGCCAGTGGTCCAGTGGTCCACTCACCAGAGGCCCACCAGCACTGTTTGTGTTGAACCCTTTTGGGACCTAACTGAAGGTAGAGGCTTACAAGTAGCCATGGCATGGCGACCCTAACCCTAGTTTTGGTGATTACTCAGTATCCTAAGTAAATTCCACAGAATTTGAGGATAAAAAAAATCTTGCGCAAACACTTTTTAAGGTCATGAACACAGTGGGCATTTGGGTTGCTGTCATATGCTGGTTCCAATTCTAATCTACGATCACAAAATCGCATGGCACACCTAAACTGACTTCGTGGCACATCAGTTGGATCTGTGATCTGATCACAGATCAATCATCTGATTTATGGAAGAACCCACCTTTCACGTTGCAGTAACATCACCACCAGCAGGATGAGGGTGATGGCACCCACCACATAGAGCAATGTCATCCACAGAGGCACTGAGTCAGAGTCTGTGAGGAAGAAAAAAGAAGAATATTATTTGTATAAATCTTTTAGCTCTAAATATTGGGGCACGCATTGTTAGGAAGCATAATTCTGAATTTTAACCAAGCATGTTGGGGTCAAACAGTAACTGAAATAAATCTAAAGTTCTATACGAACATAATTTTTTATTTCTGAAAACTACAGAAAATAAGTCAGCTATACATAAGAAAAAAACATCTGCCGTGTTTAAGCAGTCATTCAATTACATTTTTGGGGAAAAAACGACATCTTTTCTTCATAACATGTAGAATTTTTAACCTATGCTGCTGTTGGATCCCCAGAACACAGGTTCACTCCAATCACTCCAGAAGTCAGACGATCCACAGCCTTCATCTATTCTGTTCCGCACTTGCAGCTCATATCGGGAACTTCCCGAGGGCGAGTTGATGCAGTACTTCTGTATCTCGGGGCTAACTTTAGAGGACTAGAAAATCAGATGGATTTTAGAAAACACAACAAGAGAGAACAAGAAGGGGCAAACAAAGCAATAAATTAAAAAGGATGAGAGAAACTCTTTTCCTACCCCCCAGTTATTGTTGTTTGTCCTGAAGCGGACCTCACTCTCCACACAATGTAGACGAGCAGGAGAAGTGTGGTTCCAGTAAAACCACAAGTTAAAGTCTGATCCATTGAGAACAGTCAGGTTGGTTGGTGGATTTAACTTGACTGAAAAGATACAGACGTGTAATAACATGAACAAACATGCCAGTATACATTATACTTTAAGGCCTCTTTCATGTCAGAATACCCACAATTTTCTTGGAAATTTTTTTTAGATTTAAGCAAAAGTGTAAATAAAAAAAATCCCAATAAGTACACTAATTTTTCCATCATTATTTTATTTGTTATTTTAAATACAGTTATGTTCCAGGCCAGGGTAAATACATACCTCGGTTTTTAAGTCCATGTGTCTCCTTAAATCTATCCTTGCCATGTACCAGCTTGGTGTTAAAAGTCATGAATCTGTCGTGAGACTCACATGGCTGGATGCATCCAATGTTCATGTTGTTCTCTGTCAAATACTGTGGGCAGCTTTTTTCTTTCTTATTGAAGAAACTGTGTAGAAATAATAATAAAAAACAATCAGGCAAAGTACTGAGCCATATCTACTTTAGTATTCATCATGACCAAATATGTTCATATATGTTCATCATTTATTCAAAAATGTGTTGTTGTTGTTTTATTTGTTAGGGCCTAGCAATTAAATATGTTTAACTGTTAAGTTTATCAGAAAAATAGAAGAATTTTCATTACATCTTCCACTGAAGCACAACCAGCCTAATTCTAATCTGATGAATTCAGAAGACGTCACTGAGATGTCCCACTGCTGTTATCAGCGGTTACCCACCTACTATAGAAGGTGTAGTTGACCTTTGGTGTCCCCTTCTTATTCCAGGTACAGGAAACATTTTTCAAATTGATAATCAAGCAATCTACATCTGTTAAAAATATGACCAATTTGAGAAAATGATTTTCAGAAACTGATAATGGTTAGACATATAAATTCTACATAACAGTAGAGTCAAACACCCATGACCTTAAACTGATTTTAATTAATTTAGATAGCAATTATTTTTATATCAAGGTACAACAACTCAGGTCCTTTCTTCATAACTGATTCGCTGTTTTAAGGAAGCTGATCAAATACATATTGAATGCTAGCCGCGCAGGAGATAATATATGTAGATCTGCCAAAAACAGACTCACTGACTATTCAGACACTTGTACTCAACCTAAAAAAAATGTCATCAGTAGACTATAATTTGTAATAACTTCGATCTTGTGTAATTGATCTTACCAGGGGCTTCTATGGCAAACACAGGTCCGATCAGACAGAGAAGTAGATGCAGTCTCGTCGGCATCATGGCGCACTAAAACAGGATGTTAAGAGTACTTTTGCAACGTTACAACTCCGACTGTTGCTGTTTGTCTGACGTAACTGAGCCGACTTTTGCGGTGTTGTTTCTCATCAGTTCCTGTAGTTAGACCAAACACTGCGATGATTTATCACTTCCTTGTAACATAATTAAAGTTGACCTCAGACAAACAAGAACAACAATATTCAGTCAGTTAACAATATTCATAAACTAAAATATATTGTAGGCCTGTTGTATGTAACCTACACTTACAAAAAATAAATGAATAAATAAAATAGTAACCTATAATACAATAATGAAATATGAATCAAGTTTTGGCTATTGTTTGTAATAGCCATCTATTATCTATCTTAGACTTTTAACAGAAATAAAGACCAAGTAGCGACAAGACTTGTGTCTTACAGGTGTTGTCTGAAAAATGTCCAAGCAAAGGCAAAAAAAGTTACAGAACAAAGTTATCTAGTACGTGTCTCAAACTACATGAAAAACACATTTCTGACCGACTCTGTGGTGACATGGTGAAGTGATATAAATACAGCAGGGCTATATTTACTCATATTCAGAGCGAGGGTGTCAGCATTCAATAGTAAGAGAATTAATCTGAAAACTCTGACTTGGATCTACGGGCTATTTAAGCAGTGCTAATCTGCTTTGCAGCACCTGTTAGGCTTTGCTGCTAACGTGGCGCCATGTGTGAGTGTGGAAGTGCTGTGAGAGAGAATGAGTAAGCCTTTAACTTACTTCTTTTAAATAATTTAAATAATTTAATCATCTCAGCCTCTTGAAAAAATAGCCTTTGAAAAAAGTAATAAAAAGAGAGCAACGGTTACTTTTTTAAGTGCGGAACTTGAAAGAATTTGCTAAAATATTAACAGGCCACACACGTTTGTGTTAATATTCACCCCTCCTCCTTTAAGTAGGTATAAATTATTGTGACTTTATACTGCTTTAATATAAATTCACTATAATTTACAAGTTTCTTACTTTTTTAAACGACGCTATCAGTTTCCATTTTTTTCATGTCCATTTTTAGTGTATTTTATGAGTGGATTGATTGTGCAACCTTCACGCGTTTATGTGTAACTTTGCCCTTCACACTGCTTAAGCAACGTGACGAGCTTTTATTTTGAAGAGCCGGAAGTCCCAGTGTTTTGGTAACGGCAAGGAAGGACCTGTCATTTACCCTGGTCCAGCTAATTTCTAATCTAATCAGCTGTTTCCCGGCAAAAAAACAGCACTAATTTAACAACAAATGTAACTGTTTGGACACAGAGACAAAATGGGATTCACACGGAGTCGCTTTCTTGGCGGTAAGCCGTCGAAAGCGCCGCTGCTGCTGCCTTTTCTGCTCACAGTCCTGCTCGTCGGGAGCCAAGGCGACGGCGGTGCGATGGACAACGGCGCAACTGAGAGGATAGCAGAGGAAAGCCACCGACAGGACAGTGCCTACCTACTGATATTCATAATGCTCTTGACGCTCACCATACTAACCATATGGCTTTTCAAACACCGCCGATTCAGGTTCCTGCACGAAACAGGGCTTGCCATGATCTATGGTAAGGACACCAAGCTAGCCCTCATATCAGTCCATTAAACGTAGCTTTAATGCTAGCTGAATAATCTGACAGGTAAATCTCACGTATCTTGGGCAGCATACTTCTAATCAGAGTGATATCCCTAATAAAAAACAGTTGCAACAGAATACACGATAATGGGTAGTGTATTGCAACAATAAATGGCAAACAAATGACTAGAGATGGGCCCTATAATTCCTATTTATAGCTATTAAATTATCCTTTCCTTTCAAAATAATAAAGTTCACTTCTGTAAGAATAATTCTCCTATCAGTATTGGTTGATTCAACAGTTTTAAATGCAATCTCAGCCTAATTTCCTCCTCAAATAATAGTTAACTTCAAATCCTGTGCTGCCTGTTCTGATTTCACTTGCTCTTTTCTCTTTTTCCACTTTCCCAAAGGACTGTTGGTGGGTGTGATCCTGCGGTTTGGCATCCACGCCCCCCAAAGCATGAGCGACGTGATTCTCAGCTGTGCCGCTAACGGCAGTCCTGCCACTCTCTTGGTCAATGTCAGCGGACGGTTCTATGAGTACACTCTGAAGGGGGAAGTCGGACAGGGCAAAGGTCACCAAGTGCAGGACGATGAGATGCTGAGAAAGGCAAGGGAACAGATGGTGGAGGGTTGAAGTATTGGCCGTTTAGTGTGCATGTCTCACACTAAACAGTCTGTTAAGCGAGATATGTATGTCTCATAATGTAATGAAAATGGATGGATGGCAATTAAGTGCCTAACTAATCTTACTGCTTTCCTCAGGTGACCTTTGACCCAGAGGTGTTTTTCAACATTTTGCTGCCTCCCATTATTTTCCATGCAGGTTACAGTCTGAAAAGGGTAAGAGTGTCAAAAGGTTTTATATAAAGATTTATGTAAGTATCTGTTATTAAATATATAGCTGTAAGGGTTTATATTTGTCTTTAATGTTTTCTTTTTAAGATTATTCATTTGTTCGTAGCCTCTTTCTTAAAATAAACACCTGCTCTCTGTCTTTCTCAGAGACACTTTTTCAGGAACATCGGTTCTATCCTCGCCTATGCTTTCATCGGAACAGTTATATCCTGCTTTGTTATTGGGTAAGTCAAGTAAACATCTCAGAAGTTAGCTCAGAATAGGCCAGAAAATAATGCCATGCAACGATAATATTGACAATAGTAACTTAGATTTATATAGCTGGTTCCAAGGTTTGTGTAGCGGAGGAAAAGGTCAGATAAATACTGGGAAGCAAGAGCATGTAGGCAAGGAGATAGATCTTTTAGGAAATATGAGACTTTCCCAGGAGCTGGTGTGGGTGATGTGTTACTGGGACTTTGTACAAGTAAGAACTCTAGGAGCTGATTTCTGAAGATACAGTAGTCCAGGCGGGAGGTGATGAAAGCATGAATGAGGGTTTTAGCTGCAAAGTCTGAGAGTACTGGCCACAGTCTGGAGATGTTCTTCAGGTGGTAGATGGCAAATTCAGAGATGGATTTAATATATGATGTGAATGAGAGGGTGGAGTCCAGGATCACATCCAGGTTGCAGACCTCTGAAGATGGTGAGGGTGAGAGAGAGTATCCACCCACCTTAAGGTGCAGATCGGCCCAGTACATACCACACTGCAGACCTTGCATTCCTACATGTGATCAGATTATTGCTGAATAGTAGTGGTTTGAGTGTTTGTTTGTTTTTTTCTCTCCTAGACTGATCATGTATGGCTTTGTGTCCTTCATGAAAGTCGTGGGGCAGCTTGGTGGAGATTTTTACTTTACTGATTGCCTCTTCTTTGGGGCCATCGTTTCAGCAACAGATCCTGGTAGGTACCCACATCCAAAATTAACAGAGAAGATAAGCATCTGATTCCATTTTCAATAGCTTTCCTGTTATTAATTAGATGTTTTATACTCTTTATTTTCTGTCTCAGTGACAGTCCTCGCCATCTTCAATGAGCTAAAGGTAGACGTGGACCTCTACGCTTTACTGTTTGGGGAGAGCGTCCTCAACGATGCCGTCGCCATCGTCCTCTCCTCGTACGTATTACTGACGCACTGAAGCATCGGTGCCACATTAACGAACAATTTTTAATGCCCGCCACAAAACAATAAGTGCTTTTTAAGAGATATTAGTTGATATAATTGGTGCAATGTTTCTTTCTGAAGCTGTAGCAGTTTAGGCTCAATCAGCTGGGGCTTTTTGCTAAAGTAATTACATTTTGGTGAACAATTCAGCTCAAACTGTTGGAACCTGAGTTAAATCTGAGTTAAATAAATTTTTATGCAGAAGAAAAACTGTTAATTTTGTGTTTGATTCCTTCAGTTGGGCTCCCAATAGTGCCAGTTTTTTCATATTCATTACAGACAGAAAGAACAGATACAGTTGTAATTATAATTTCTAGTTCTTTTCTAATTAGTCCCATAAAACCTGTGCTTGCATTGAGCTAACTGTGGCAGAAATGGCTTTTTTGTATTGTACACGCATTAATCATACTAACATCAGTCCCTGTCATTTCACTGCTTACCTGTCTCCACCCATCTGTGTCATTCATCGCCTTGCCCGTACGTACGTACGTATGTATGTAGTGTTCTCCTCCGCTTCGAAAAGCTGGGAAGGCATGGTGCTGGAGCTGTGCGCTCCGCAAGAAACGAGAGCTCACTGTTACCTGAGGTGTCCGAGGAATGGCTGGGAGAAAACCAGACAGTGACTCCTCGGTGGGTGGGTTGGTCAGGGGGACTGCGTGGTTTTTGCTTTTGTTAATATTTTAGAACCTCAGACATTAGAAGGTAGGCTTCAGGATCATCCTTCATCACCCTCCCTTTCATTCCTGAGACGCTGCAGCCCTTTCATATCCATTCCTACTTTGATTTTTGATTTTTAGATCACCCACCATTTCTAGAATCACCAGGAAACCCTTTATTCTTATGAAGTTTTTAGTCATTTAGGCTCATTAAAGGTTATTGCAGAATATTAACCTGATAGAGTTCAAATGAAGCATGCAAGACCTTTTATTTTTTCATTTATGACTGTAAAACCCAACTCCACATATTTGACGTCTTTGCAGATATGTCCAAATCATAACAAAGTTCATCTGAATTAATGATGAGACTGGTAAGAGAAGCCATTCTTGGAGTTGGGTTGCTGCATTTGTGATTTCATTCCTGACGCTATTTTGTGAGCATGTGTTTGACCAGCTTCCCTTTCCTTAGTGAGGCCTTTTTTGTAGTAAAGCCCCACTTCCTTTTTTCTTCTAAATGGTTTTGCGTGCATGCTCTCTGTCTTCCCTGCAGTTCCATTGTGGCGTACCAGCCTGCAGGCGACAACAGCCACAGCTTTGAGGCCATGGCCATGTTGAAGTCCTTCGGCGTCTTTCTGGGCGTCTTCAGCGGCTCTTTTGCTCTCGGTGTTGTTACAGGAGTTGTGACCGCCCTCATATCCTTTCACTTGTTTCTTACCATGACATATTTTACATCTACATTCACAGGTGTGTGCAAGAGGTAAATGAATAACGATACAGTTTCTCCCTGTTTCCAGTGTATTAAAGTTGCCACGCCTCCTTGTTTGGTCCCTTAACTTTCCATCACGTCACCAAGTTTACTAAGCTGCGGGACTTCCCCTTGTTGGAGACGGCGCTCTTTTTCCTGATGTCCTGGAGCACCTTTCTCTTGGCGGAGGCCTGCGGGTTCACAGGTAGACCTGCAACAAAGTCTCCTGCATGCAGTTGTAACAACACTGCCTTCCGTATTTGATTAGCAGCTGCAGCAGTGTGGGAGATAGTGGTTTCACCTTGTGAGTTTGTGCGTGTGTATGTGCACAGGCTTGGTGACACATGCTTTCACTGGAAACTACCCTGAAGGAGTCATTTAAGTGCTCTGTGGAGGCACAGAGTCTGTCAGCTTATCTGTGTGTTTCTTAGGTATTTCTCTGTGTAGTATTTTGCAAAGATCAGTCAGGTCTGAGAAGTCATTGGTCTTCACAAGAAGACATCTGATATCGATCTTGTGTTAGTCTGAAGCTTCATTTAAAACACAGTTGCTGGTCTACTAAGTAAAACTGACTGTTTTACTGTCTTTTCTGGGGAGCGTGTGGCATGCTGCAATATGATGGATTTGAAGGAATTTTATCACTTGCTGTTCAAGCATTTGCATTAACAACAAAAGGTTACAAATATTTGGACACTAATAATAACATTTAGAAGTTTTGTTCTCCTAAACAGGAAGATTTAGATAAGGACACAGGCTTTGTTTGCCTTCTCATGGTGCCAGTTATCCAGTGTCTAACTGGAGAATTCATTTTTGTCCTGTCAAATGACAAAACAGCAGCAACAACAATGTCTATTTAGTCTGTCTCTCAGTAGATTCCTACCCATCTGTGCTGACTGTGGCTCTCAGCTCAGTTCTCTCGATAGTGAGTAAAAATAAATATATACAGTAAGTAAAATAAATGCCCAGTTTTCTAAAACTGCAACTTACTGCGGACAGTTTGTGGGCTTAAGATACAATTACTGATGAAGAAACATGTCAACAAATACACGATACACACACACACACACACAGTGCTTGGTAATCGTTGGATTTTCATCTCTGGGTTTGACTGACAGTAGCAGAACCGCAGAATCTCACCAAGCTTATAATAATAATGGATTGGATTTATATAGCGCTTTTCAAGGCACCCAAAGCGCTTTACAATACCACTATTCATTCACTCTCACATTCACACACTGGTGGAGGCAAGCTACAGTTGTAGCCACAGCTTCCCTGGGGCAGACTGACAGAAGCGAGGCTGCTATATCGCGCCATCGGCCCCTCTGGCCAGCACCAGTTGGCGGTAGGGTAAAGTGTCTTGCCCAAGGACACAACGACCAGGACAGAGAGCCCAGGGATCGAACCGGCAACCTTCCGGTTACAGATGCGATTCCCAACCCCCTGAGCCACGGTCGCCCCCAATTATCGACCTACCGATTGCTGATGTGGGATGACTGTGTGTTCTTTCAGGTGTCGTTGCTGTGCTGTTCTGTGGGATCACTCAGGCCCACTACACCTACAATAATCTCTCACCAGACTCTCAAGACAGGACCAAACAGGTGAAATGCAGTATAACTTATATAATGTGCTTGATCCCATTGTTTTAAATTCATTTTCAAGCAGCAGTTGTTGCTGCGCTGTTGCATTTAAAGATCTGGTTTGCAAAGAATTACATCTGTGAAATATCTTGAAAGGAAGGATGACTTACAGCTTCTCTGCTTCTTGGGCATTAGCGCAAGCTTGGTTATACTTTTTGCCAAATTTGCAGAAAGTTCTGAGAAATCCACGAGCTGCTATCATTTATTCACAGAAACAGTGAGCTGATGGAGCTGATGTGGCCGACTGCTCCGTGTCCTGCAAACTCAAAGCTCTGTCTTCTGTTGAAGCTAGGACATCACAAAGCTGCACGTTCTTATCAACTAAATGTTAATAACCAGTTACTACAATCATCAGTATCAGTTCATGATAATGCAGGATGTTTGTGGATATGAGTTTATCATAGTTATGTGTTTCTGATGAGTTAAAGGTGATATGACACGCAGAAACTTGTGGTCACCTGACTCAAAAGCAGCACTGAGATAGAGATATGACAAAAAAAGTGTCTAAGAAGCAAATGTGGGAAATGGCTTTCAAGTGTCTGAAAACCAGCTTAAAATATTTATGTCGGCTTTGAAATGTTTAGTTTGCGCTGGTAAGGCACAGCTTTTACTTTGAAGGTCTCTTTTAACGACTGCACGGGCAGCAGCTGCAAAGTATTTGCAGAAAATCTGCATCTTCCATGCAAACTACAGTGAACTGCGCGAATCTGTCCAGAGCGAGCACAAGGAGGTTTTTGGTGCCAACAACCTCCATTAATCATTCGCCAACTGGACAGTGAGTACATATTTTCCCTAGTGACTAAAGGTTGCCAGTGGGTCACCAACCAACCTATAGTCCTGCGTGACTAGGCCTAGGGGAAGACATGTCCAAAACATCAGATGATTTGCAACTACATGCACACTCTCATGCACAGTCAAAGTTAATTAAAAGCTGACGCTTCATTGTAGTGTGCGAGCTGGAAGAATGTTTATGAGGGGAGTCTGTAATACAGGTTATTGATTTTCACTGCATTCTGTCACTGACAAGCATGTTCTGTTGGTGTAGTGGTTAACATGTTTGATTGGCAAGCCCCTGCAGAACAGGCGCATCAAATGTAGCTTCATTAGAAAATGTGACAAGCATTTTTTAAATGACCTCTCCCGAACTCTGGGTCTTACAGAGTCGTCATTGGTCATTGGTCATATGGTGCGCAAGAATATTTTGGAAATTTTTAACCGTTTCAAATAGAAGGAAGTGTAAAAACTGGGGAAGTAGCATATATAAATGAAATTCAATATCCGCTTTTCTCATCCCCTTCAGTTGTTTGAGCTGCTGAACTTCCTGGCAGAGAACTTTATCTTCTCCTACATGGGTCTGACGCTCTTCTCCTTCCAGTCGCACGTCTTCAACCCTCTCTTCATTGTCGGAGCCTTCGTATCCTTTACTCTGCTGGTGGTTAAGGAGTCAGTGGCTCTGCGGTGCATCAGGATATAGGATAAAAACCTTTTGTTTCATGTGCCTTGAAAAATATTTGATATATATTTATACCATTACAATTGAACATCTATTTCATGTTTAACCAAGGCCAAAAATAACATCACGGACACAAGCAAATCAGCATATCAAAGCTTAGTCACCGCCGAGCTGGTGTTTACGTCTACGTGTGATTATTTTCCATTCCAGTGTTAGAGTTCCTGTGTTGTGTCCTTGACCTTCCTGCGCTGTGTAGGTGGCAGTGTTTCTGGGCAGGGCTGCAAACATCTACCCTCTGTCCTTCCTCCTCAACCTGGGCCGCAAGAACAAGATCGGATACAACTTTCAGCACGTTATGATGTTTGCAGGTACATTAGCATAAAGCTGTTTATCAGGCTTGGACTCAAACCATGTTTCTCCTCTTAAACCTTCAGTTATATATGTCAACGGTTCATTAAGTACGCTGAGAAAACTTTTGGAACTGCTCGTTAGCATTGCTACATATACCAGCAGTCGGAGAAGCAAAAACACCCACACCATCGCACAGCACATGAGCTTGCCAGGAAATAACTGAAGTAGTTAAGCCAAGAACAGGATTTATTATTAACTTTTATTAAGTTAATAATAAACAGACAAAAGGCACGCTGCCGCACTTTAATGGGGAATGCGCACAGGAAGAGACCAGCAAAGAGGAACGTTAATAAAGTTCAGTGACTTGTAGAGCTGTTATAGTTAATATTCATTAGGTGTGGTTTCAGTTTGAGTGTCAAGGCTGTGATGGTTTGCACATGTGCAGAGGAGCAATGGTGGATATATTGGACAAAGCTATGTTAAAGATGGGGCTTCCAGACTTCAAGACAATGTAGTGAAGGAGGACACAGAGAGGGTTGATGTGACAGAGGGGGATGCTAGAGATAGGGAGAGGCAACTAGTGTGCGGTGGCAACCCCTAAAAAGAAGGAGGATTTTTCATTTGTTTCCACAGTGGGTGTACATGTTTCAGTTTTGATTTTATCGTCTAGAAGAATTCAGTTGAAGTTTCATTTTCATTAGTCTGAGTGGGAGTTGTGTATTTTATTAGCATATTGTTGGTGAAAGTTCAAAGGGTAAACGGCTCACATTCACAGAGAGGCTGTAGTTATTTACACCAAAGCCTCTTTAGACTTAATGAAAGTGACAAAGACTGAAACCAAACTTTTTTTAATACTTGACGTCGGTCACCTGCACATCTGGAGCCTGAAATGTCCACCTTCAACCAACGATCAGCTACACATCACTTAATATGTGAAAGATGCTCTGGTTTTTCCAGTTGTTTTCACACTACAGGGCACCTGCTTTGTTTCCCGCAGACTTAACCTAAACCTGACCGCGAACGGTCTTCTCAGAATGACTTGCATTCTTTGGACTTGCTTTCTTATTTGCTTACATATGCCTATGTATCCACAACATGAGCAATAATTAATAAAACGTTTTCACCCATCCTTGTTTTATTTTTCGTCTCCTCTAGGTCTGCGTGGGGCGATGACCTTTGCACTTTCCATTCGAGACACAGCGACTTATGCCCGTCAGATGATGTTTTCAACCACACTCCTGATCGTTTTCTTCACTGTGTGGATCTGTGGTGGTGGCACCACACCCATGCTATCTTTCATGAGCATACCGTAAGCCGGCCTCCGTGTATCTTACTGTTTGTGCTGCATCACCTCCGCTGAACTTTGTCAAAGTACATGTTTTTGTTTTGTTTTGTTTTTTTAGGGTGGGTGTGGACTCTGATCAAGACAACGCTGTGAGTTGGTGTTGAGCGCCGTATTAATTTGTCTGATTTTGTGATGAAATAAAAATGCACGCCATGTCATTATCATCCTTCTGCTGAACAGAATTCAGGCGCGTTGGATGGGTCACAGCGGAGGAGCACCAAACACGAGAGCGCCTGGCCTTTTAGGATATGGTACAACTTTGACCACAAGTATCCTTTCAGCCTGATGCGTTCACCTGTGGCCACCAGAGGGCGCTCTTTACAAACTTCTAGCACGTAACAACACAGGAGATTCAGAGATAGAGTGATGATATTTATTTTACTATGTTTTATATCGTGCTTTTCACAAAGGTGTTTGTAAATTGTTAAACCTTTTACTTGAACATTTCAGCTAAAAAATGATAGTAAACCATAAAATGTGTTTTAAGTTTCACAGTGATGTTGTGAAACAGAAATATTCCTTTACTTGCTGCGGTTGAAAACCTGGTTGAGTCATTATTGTTACAGCTGAACCAGACTGCTTTAAAATGGTTATATTGTGCACTCCTTGACACGATCTTGTTCACCAGCTACCTGAAACCTCTCCTGACACACAGCGGTCCGCCTCTCACTGCTACTCTGCCTGCATGCTGCGGACCACTGGCTCGATGCCTCACCAGCCCACAGGCCTATGAGGTTTGGACATGAAAAAGAATTATGAGTTATTCAGATTTACAGGACTGTAAAAGTCTTCAGCCACCTCTCATTTATTTATATTTTCCTTCTAAGGAGCCAGGCTTTCTTGTAACTTTTTTTTTCTTTGAAGTGCTCTTTGAGAAAATAGTTCTCCAGACTTTCTGAAGGCTTCTCAAAGTTTTTCTTTTGACATTGGCTGCTTTTTCACTCCCTTTTTTCCAATGAAGTCCATGTTCCTGACCATTTTCAGAGGAATGTTTTTATAGTTGTTCTTTGTTTTTTTTTTAGTACACTTAAAAATTATCTATGAATTATTCAAGCAGAACAAACTTACCTAAACTAAGAAAACTTGGCAAACAAAAAGATTTTAAATTGTATCTTTAGGCAGTCTGTCACAAAAAACACTATTTGTTCCCTTTTTTTTTTTTTTTTTTTTAGTTTAATCTATAGAAAAAGCCATGTGACAGGAATAAACTAGTATTTCTGTGCCATGTCCTTTAAAAAATATCAGAGGATACTGAAAATTTGAGGATTAAAGAAGAAGCGTTAACTCTAAAAGAAACATCTAAAGCAGATGCGTAGTATCTGATAATCATTTTTAGGACATAGAAAAGAAATCAATAAAGACCTGACTCAGGACCTGAGACATCCATCTGGACCTTCATTTGATCATTGAAGGCTCATCAGTAATGGTCTCAGTGGAAGGGTGCCTGACAAGAAGCCCTTCTTAAGGAAGAGTGACAAGGAGAAAAGGCTGAGTTATGCCAATTACACAAGAACTGGACTCAAAATCAGTGGCAACAGCTCTGATGGAGTGAGGAACCCAAGTTTGCAAACTTCTGTTTTAACAATGTGTATAGAGGAGGTCAGGAGACGGGTACAACAGTGAGTGCTTACGGCCGTCTTTAAAGCACGGTGGAGGCTCTGTCATGGTTTGGGGCTACATTTCAGCCAGTGGTGTTGGGGATCTTATCAAAATTGATTGATTGAATTATGAAAGCAGGTCAGATTTTGATCTACGGGCAACAACTTCATTTGTCAGCATGACAATGATCCCAAACGCACTGCCAATGGAGTAAAAAAACACAATAAAACACTTTCAGTCATGGATTGGCCTCCCCAGAGCCCAGACCTCAACATTATTGAAGCCGTGTGGGATCATGTTGTCCTTCAGGAAGCCTGGAGAACTGTTCCTAAAGACTATAAAGAAATAACAGGAAAGCTTCTTAGAGTTCAGGCTGTGTTGAAGAATAAAGGTGGTCACACCAAATATTGACTTACTCACTTACTTTACTTCACGCACTTTGTTTCCATGCATGTTTTCACATGTTTCAGTAAATCGCTGCACCTATTTCCCATTTTCGCAACAAAACATAAAGAAATAAGGCATGACTCACGACTTTTGCACAGTACTGTACATGCAAACTTACTCATAAAGATCGAGGATAATTCTTAATTTTGATTAAGTTTCGTGTGGAAGCATTCACGGCCGCCTCTTCTCTTCCCACTCGCCAGAATGAAGGTCAGCTCCATGACGACGACTCTGACTTCATCCTGAACGATGCCAGCGTGAGCTCCATGTACGCCGACGTCACCGTCAGCACGGACGCGTCCGGATCCCGCACCGTCAACCCCAAGCACTCCTCGACCGCCCGCGCCGGGGGTGGTGTAGGTTCTTTCGATGAAGGTCTGGATCACGAGCTCTCCGTGGCAGAACACGAAGTGGCGATCCGGGGAACGCGGCTGGTCTTGCCCATGGATGACCCCGTGGAGGCCCCGACTACCGTCACCCTGCCTCCACCACCCTCCCCCCCGCGCTCTGAACCTCACAGGCACAGACTGTAAGAAAGCTGCCGCTCTGAGGACACAGTTTGTTGTTTCCAACTTAAAATAAAAAAATACACACCATACATACGACTGATCAAAATAATGACATATTTAAAAAAACAAAACAAATGAATTCTTTGGGATTTTCAATCAGAAAGCACAGATTGATTTTCTCACCACCAATCCATCTAACATGCAGTTTTAAAATAGTTTGAGCTTGATTTAAGTCGGGATAACTGTGACACTGAATGTGACGTGAGGGACTTTTAAATCAAGAGCTTCTCGATTTTATAGGTTACATTTCACCCCGTATGAGGAGGCTTCATTTGCTCCTGTGTTTATCCCACACTGGTGATATGGCAGCGCTCTCTATAAACCTAGCTGTATACACAGTTCACATTTTTCCAGCTCCTTTTGTGTGTTTCTACCTAAAGATAAGCACCACGCATAACACTGAAGGGCGTTAAAGCCCATCTACACTACAGTTTGGTAACTAATCCCACTAACATATCCACAGACTGGCTCACTTTAACACTAGTTATTGTTCCCAGAGTTCATCAGCAGTTCAAGCATGTGATTAGGAGATTATCAAAGGAGGAAGCAAACAAAGACCTGAGCAGAACAAACAGGCAGGTACTGATTAAAGAGAACGAACTGCATCCACACCAGTGCCCAGGAGCATCTCCACCATCTTAGATTTTAGCACTGCCTCTAAATCAGTCTGTTTACGGTTTGATTTATTTATTTAACATTGATTTCTTTAACAAAATGATTTATTTATATGCTGATTCATTTAGTTTATTTATTATCTATTTATTTGTATTTTTGTGTAAGATTTCTTTTTGGTGAAAGGCTCCTATTGCGACTTTTTTCCGAGGGGTGGAGGGCGTAATAGCGCTACAGATTTCTTCACAGGTGGAGGCGATTATTCCTTCCTGGACTGTATGCATGTTTAAAAAAATGTCTCCTTTCTGTACTGTAGCAGAAGCTGTAACTTTATATTTGGAAACTAGAGCTTCCCTGTGTGTGTATTTTACGTGTGTGTGTGTGTGTGTGTGTGTGTGTGTGTGTGTGTATGTGTGTGTGTGTGTGTGTGGCAGTCTGGCCAAGTATACTGATGTGGTTATTAGGGCTAATATTAGTTTATTTCTCGATTTTCTGCCTCCATCTGGTTGAGTTTAAAAAAACAAAACAAGCTTCTATGTGTTTGTGATGTCTCATCAAAGAAAACTGACAGCTGGCTGAACTGTTATGAATTAAAGTGCCTATTCAGAAGCTCATTTACTTAATGTAGATTTGTACATATTTTGATTTGCTAACATGCAGTAAGGTGATTTTTTATTTTATTTTTTAATTTAATTTAATTTTTTTGTATGATGTAAAATCTTTTCGACTGATTAGGCCATTCATTGACTGCCTGTGGTGTAACTCAGTACATTCGGTCCTAAAGAGCCCAAAAGAGTGCAAATGATATAATAAATAATGTTGTGCTTGCATTAATGGATAGAAACACACATATTTTTCAAACGTAGGCATTCTGTGATCAAAGTTCCTAAGTGAAATTTATCAAAACGCTTATGTGACATGTGAAAATGAAGTAACAATGAGCGGATTCTGAATGTTGAGGGGACGTTACTCGAGCTCCCGGATGGTGTTGTTCCCTTATTTGGGAACCAGGCTCATCAAATATGTTCTGACCTCACTGGGAGATGTCTCCTCAGATAATCCACACCCTTGTTTGTGCTCACCAGGCACGTCTCACATAGCTACAACTATTTTGATGCCTAAAGAGAAAGTCGGTCAAAATTAGACCTCGTAAAAAAAATACATGGGTTTTAATTGTGCCGAGCTCCAAATGTGTTGTCTTTTTGATCTTCGAGCAGTATTGAGGTTTGAGATTCTTACACAAATGTGGACATGCACCTCTTTGAATATTTGAAATATAAAAATTTGCTTGTGGAAACTGTGTATGTGATTGTTACACCTGCAATGGGTTGATAAGTGGATGTTTTAAAAAATGTTGGAGATTATAATTTCAGATGAAATTAATTTTTTCCCTGTTTAGTCCTAAAGTTATTAACAACAGTGTGTTTTCAGTCTGACAACTTGTGAGTTCTACTGAAATTAAATAAAAATACTTTTAGTGATATTAAATGGAATAGATTTTTCTGCTTTTATATACACACACACACACACACACACAGTCATGTGAAAACTTTGTTTTTCACATGACTGTGTGCAGTCCTGTTACTGAGTACTTGGAACCACCTTTAGCACCAATAATTTGAAGTAATTGTTTTCATTCTCTCACGTCACTGTGGAGGAATTCTGGCTCGCTCTTCTTTACAATGGTGCTTCAGTTCATTGGGATTTTTGGGAGCATTCATTTATGCACAGCTCTCTTTATGCACAGCATTTCAATCAGGTGGAGGTCTGGGCTTTGACTGGGCCATTCCAGCCCTGAATCTTTTCTTTTCCAGTCATTTTGCTGTAGATTTGTTGGTGTGCTTGGATCTTTTTCTTATTGCTTGACCCAGCTTGGCCCAAGCTTTAGCTGTCAGACAGATGGCCTCTCATCTGGCATACAGAGTTCATGGTGGACCTCAAGGTGCTAGAGCCTGTGGCTAAAGCAAGCACAGATTGTTACCCCTGAGCAGTGCCTGGCTGCTACTTACTTTTCAAATTTCTATGGAAGCAGAAAGGCTGTTCTTAGTTTTTCCACAGCATTTCTGTTCACATGACTGATGTACAGTATATATGTGCATGTAGCAAGATTTATATTCTCAGTCCTCAGCTATATGAAGAGCAGGATGGGACACCAAGTATGTTTAATATAAATATATATATATTTACAATTGCAGTAAGCATCTTCATGAGTGATTAAGTGTAGCTTGCACGAAGTCTTTAAAGGACAAATCAAAATGAGATGATTGAGAAATTGTATCTTTTTGATCTTTACAGTGTGTTTAGATTATGTTTATAGAGCTGAAACCAAGTTTTTGTGTGTGTTGCAAAATCTATGTAGCGTGGCTATGTAACTCTTTAAAAAAAAGCATGTAATGTACTGAGTTCCTGACGAGCTCCGTGTGTCGTTCGGCTGTGGAGTATTTGAAATAAAAATCTCTACCATGCAAAGTTTTTTTGCATTATATATTATATTTATAAAATGTCGGCGCCATCATTTAACTAGGTCGTGGACTTTGAATATTAATTAGATACAAATTGCGCATAAAGGTATAATATTTCTGAGTGAAAGCCTGCTGACTGAACTTCATATTTACTTTTATTTTGAAAACCCACTCTTCTTTTCGAGGCTTCGCGTGGGCTCTTATTGTGAAGGCTGAGCTCTGCGCCTCGGTGTGAGGTGTGGGTGTTTGGCTGGAGTTGATGCGGCCACAGGCTGCAGTATTTATAACACGTGAAGCCGTCGCTGAAGCGGAGTTCCGCTGCTTCCAGAGAGCCGCTCATCCACCGCTGCAGACCTCACTCTGATCCCGGTAAGCCGACCGATGAGCACCGCTGTTTGTTAACCCTCTGTACCGGACTACCCCAGCCTCTTCTCATAAAAGCTGGATTTTAAACGGGACCGAGTAGCTGCTGCGGGGTTATTTTGTACTTAAGTATTCCAGTTATTAGTCTTTAATAAGTATTGCAGATTTTTAGTTACTTATTTACTTTATTTAATAATAAATAAACACGCAAACTCAGAGCAGGTTACATTTTGGTTCCTGTAGCTCTCTTCCTCTCTTACACTTGCAATGATTTCATTTACACTTAATCTGCAAAGCAGCATCTTGATATCCGGAGAGGAAACTAGGCTTAAAGTTGTCCGGGGCGTTGGCTGTCTGTGTAATATGTGTGTGTGGCTGTCTGTGTAATATGTGTGTGTGTGTGTGTGTGTGTGTGTGTGTGTGTGTGTGTGTGTGTGTGTGTGTGTGTGTGTGTGTGTGTGTGTGTGTTAGTGTCAGTCTGAGTGCGTGTGAGCTACAGTTACATGCTGACTTGTGAAAGCCTGAGCTGCTCCTGAAATCTGTTTCCAGTTAGGAAGTCTGACTTTTTTTTGTTGTTTTTTTCGTCCAATGATGGAACCTCTGAGGCCAAAAAATGCCTCTCAGAGGTCAATTAAAATTCTTGTACTGCTATTTTTCATTGTCCAACGTTTATGCGTGTGCGTGTAGCCATGTAATTGATGCATATGCTCTACCAGCTGGATTCAAGCTCCCCGGACTTCTTTCTTTGGTACTGGTGTGTTAACACATGTATCAAAAATGCCATGCAGGCTTCAGTTCTAAAAATAAAGCTGAAATACTGACACATGGTTAAATAAACAGTCACAATGTTATGTTGGTATGGGGAAATGATGCCTTTTGTTGCTGGATGATGGAGTACAACATCACTCCCTATTGTGAGCAAACACACAGACAGTGTGTAAAACCAAATCCTACCTTCCACACACACACACACACACACACACACACACACACACACACACACACACACACACACACACACACACACACACACACACACACAACTGTGGGGAGTTTTCAGTTGGATTCTAAGCATGTTAAAGAAATTAGAGTGAGCTCAGTCCCATTAAAGACGTCCCAGCCCAATAAAACTTTATGCTGCTGGTCTTCCTTCACGTCATGGTAACTCCCTGTTGTGTTTTGCCTGTTGTGATTTTAATAGGATTGAATGTAAATAGGTGCAGACACTGTGGTCTTCTGTTTTTATTGATCCCCAATGGTCACGTGAACACTAGAGTTTAGTTTTTAATAGAGATTTCCAATGGATAGCATGGTAGAAACAGAAAGCTTCCTGTGTGTGTGTGTGTGTGTGTGTGTGTGTGTGTGTGTGTGTGTGTGTTGCCTTTTGTCCTGCAGCCAGTAAAACCTGTTGTGTTGTGTTTGGGTGTGCTGACATTGATCAGGGGGTGTGGAAACTTGTCTCATGCGAAAGGAAGAGGGCCACTTTATTAGTTACAAATTTCCTAAGTTTTCAATTGTAAATTGATGGTTTCTTAACAGAATTGCTTTTCCACTCCACTTGAGCACTCACCAAGTGCTTTAGACAACGTGTGTCAATCTAACATTCACACTCCAATGAACACATCAGGACCAGCTTGGGTTTCAGTATCAAACCACCAACTGTCTGATTATTATTTAACTTGCTCTACCTCCTGAGGCACAGCCATCCCAACTGCACCTTAACACAAATATCTAATCTGCCAATCACATGGCAGCATCTTAGTGCAGTTAGGCAGGTAGCTGTGGTCCAGACAATAACTTAAATCGCTTAGATCGCTTGTTATGCCGAAGAGCATCTCTGAATGCACAACACATAGAACCACAAAGCAGATGGGCTACAGCAGCAGAAGACAACACTTGGGTGCCACTCCTACGAACAGGAAACTGAGACTACAATTCACGCAGGCTCACCAACATTGGAGAGCCTGTCTAAGCCTGTCTTAAACTAGTCTAAGGAGCTTGGAAGAAAAAGCAGTTCTGTAGGGAATATTTCCCAGCTGGTACTAGCAAGGTGTACCCAATAAAGTAAGGATATCTTAAGGAAAAGGGGAAGCAGTCTTCCCACTTATCATTAAGTAAGAGTGACACCACTCTCATTCATACATTTTCTGTTGAATAAAAAGCTAAGAGCCAGGAGGTTTTAGCTTAGCCATAAAGACCAGAAGCAGGGAAAGGACAACTTTCAGCTGCTCCCTTTAGTGCTCACCACAGTGGAGCATCTGCTTATATCTCACCCTAGTGTGGATCTGGTTTAGGGGGAAAAAAAGAAAGATAAAATCAACCATCGTCCCCTCTGATGCTCACTAATGACTGCACAGTTGTTAAAGTCAATCAACAAGCGTACAGTACAGTATTCCTAACTCCGTGCAGTCGGCATCTAACATCACATCCTATAGATAGAATTGACTTTTTTATTTAAGGATCAGTTAGATTATGCGTATAAAAATGTTTTTTTTATTTATTATTATTTTATTTGTTGTTTATATAACAGGGGCTCCACATCCGGAGTGGATGCAGCGAAAATGTTGCCAAATCAAACATGCAGTGACCCTTTGTGAATATTGTTAAAGCATGTTGTGGGTTACTCATTTATGCTCTCCCTGACTCTGCTATGGTTGTTTTAACCTAGAGGGAAGCTACACAGCGCCCTCTGGTGGACAAAGTATACACTGTCAACACTAATAACACATTTGAAGGGTGTTTCTTCCTTTTTTATCTTTACTTTTTAAATTGTCATTTATAAGCTATCTAAATATCAGATACCAACAATTACATAATATTGACAGATATATTGGCCATAGCAATATATCAACTGGGTTGTAACTTTGGTGAGTTCACTGTAGCTTATTTAATTTTAACGTAGTTATTTTTCATTTAGTTTTTTTAAGCAGTAGAAAGAGCCATGCTAGTTGTTTCCCCTTTCTTGTGGTCTTTATGCTAAGCTAGGCTAATCCTGGTTTCTGACAGACAAGACACTTGAAGTATTTCAAAAAATAAATATTCAAAATATTCCTTTAGCTAATATTCTCCAGGCTAGAAAATTTAATTAAAAATAAATCTGAATGAAGACTAGGAGAAATATAGCAAACAGCAGCTGAACTGTTGAACTTATACAGGAACTGTTTGGATGTTTAAAAATGGCTCGACTCATGTGAGGAGTGGCTGGAGTAAGAATCTGGAAAAATGGTTAGAAACGGAGATTTGCAGGGATTTTCTTGGTTGGAGATTTATGAGGGTAGACTGGAACAGTTTGGAGACAGGAGAACCCCTGAGACTACATGAGATAATTTAAACTTTTACGAGTAACTTGGAAGTCTTCCCAGCAGGACTGCTCTGGTGCCAGAGTGGAGAGGGTCTTACTGTCACACACACATGGAAAATGTCATGAAAACTGGTCAGACGTATTTTAGCTCCTGATTTAAAGGTCTTCTCGGTTACTGAGTGGAGAAATGAGTGCAGAAAGTGGAGTGTGTAACTCAAGACAAAGCGAGGTGGGTTAAGTGGATCTAACCAGAAGCTTCTGGTAAAGCCATCATGCCTGTCTTGTAGTAGCGGGACATGCTGTTTCTTTGACCTCACTCAGATCTGTTGTATCAGCTTTATCCCACTGTCTGGAATGCAGCT